GCAATGACCTAGCTTAGCTCGCTTTCTCCTTTTTACTTAGTCTGGCAGTTGGATCTCCTCACCTTAGTTACACTAATCTAGAACACCCCTCAGACTGGCCCAGAGGCCTGTCTCCATGGTGATTCTGGATCCTGTCAAGTTGAAGACATTAACCATCACATTTCTGGTACAGAACTTTTATGTTGCTGTATCTGTATCTGTTTGTTAGTATTTCCTTGAGAAGCTATGTACATTCATCCACAAGACATACTGAAATCGTCTTTCTCAAGAAGTCTTTGTGATTTTTCAGCAGGATAACAGTAACCTCATATGATGAATTAAAGCATTCCTTTCTTCTATTGCCATCATATTCATATTAACCCTTCTAATCAATAAACAGTCATTTTCTCAAATATTTATAAAGGATAAAGCATTTATGAAGAATTGCTATTAACCCTTGTGTTTGATGAAATTCAGCAATGAAGCTGGGCTGTGGCGTGTGTCGGGGAGGGGTGGGGGGTGCAGCTTGGTGGTAGAGCTGCCCTCCAGTGCATGCAAAGCCACCAGTTCTATCCTAGCACTTAGAAAAAAAAAAGAGCATGCCAGGTGCCATGGTGCACACCTTTAATCCTGGCACTTTGGAAACAGAGGCAGGAGGATCTCTATGAGTTCCTGACAAGTTAAGGCTATATATAATGAGACTCTGTGTAAGACAAAACATAAACAGGAAAGCCAACCGGGCCTGCACAAAATCAACAGATGGATGCGAGAAGAGGAGGAGGGGTTAAAACATAGCAGCTGGAGGCCAGCCAGGTAGCTGCTAAGCCATCGTCACTGTTTAAATACCGGAGTTTTCCTCTCTCTGCTGCAGTATTTCCGTGTCTGACTTGTAGTGTTCTCTTGACATGTTCCATCTGTTTGTGGCTCTGTGCTTATGTCCCACTTGGGCTCATACATGGTCCTGGAGGCGTCACTGTTTTCCAATAAATTTGGGGACTTTTCAGCCACTATGTCTTTGAATCTATTTTCATTTCCTTTCTCTCCTTTCTGGATGTTAGTGTCCTTAAAGTCGTCACCCACCAGGTTAAGAATTGTTAGTACTTTCTCGTGTCCTTCTCTGTCCATTTGATTCAGCAGTGTCATGATATCTGTGTGAACTCCTTTTCGTGGGTTTCCTTCAGTTCTGAGAACAGTTTGGGGTGGTTTGGTTTGGTTTGAGACAGAGTTAACTGTGTTGCCCAGTCTGACTTACAGCCCTGTGCCCAACAGACATTTCCTTCCTCAGTCTCCCCTTCCCCAGTAGCTAGGACTTCCCGTGTGCCTGTTCTACTATGCACAGCGAGTTCTGAGCTTGTTACTTTTTGCAGTGCTTTGCAAGCAAGCATGCTACAGCCCAGGGGGTAGGTACGCCCAGTAACAGTACTGGGGCTGCTCTCAATGGCAGTTTTCAAAGGTTCTCATTATTTACTAGCTTTCCATTTGGGTTTTTTGTTTGTTTGTTTTTGTCTTTTTTCTTTTTTTGTCAACCTAACACAACCCAGGTCATCTGGGAAGGAACCTCAGTTGAGAAAATGCCTTCATCAGATTGGCCTGTAGCCACATTTGTGGGGCGTTTTCTTGATTAGTGATTGATATGTGGGAAGGCCCAGCTACCTCGGGGCACGTGGTCCTGTGTTGTATAAAAAAGCATGCTGAACAAATCATGAGCAAGCCTGTGATGCTTAAGCTGTTAAAACGCTGATCAACCAGGGTCTTATGAACAAATTTAAGTAACCAGGATGACCTTAAACTTCTGATCCTCCTGTGTCTACTTCCTGAGTGCTAGGATTACAGACATGTACCACCACACCCAGGCCATCATGCATGCTAGGCAAGTACTCTACTAAAGTCTCTTCAAGTCTGTACCTAGCAGTAGACCCTGAGTGCTAAGTAACAATCTGCCAGAGAAGATGCGCCTACTGTGCAAGTGGCATGACTATTATGGGGCCAACTGTCCTAGTTAGCACTGCCAATTAGATGTGGCCTCGAGTCTGAGAAGCTTTGAGGAACTGCCTGTATCAGTCTGTAGATTTGTCTTGATGCAGGAGGGCCCAACCCAAGGTCGTGGTACCATCCCTTATGCATGTGGTTCTGGGTGTGTAAGAAAGCTAGCTAATAAGCCTGTGAGCTAGCAAGCAGAGTTCCTCCATAGTTTCTGCTTCAGGATCCTGCTTGAGTTCCTGCAGACTTCCTTCAGTGGACTGTCTGATATGGGGCCTGTTCCCTAGAAGGGAATTCATATCTGGTACTACAAAAGTGGTCAAAGGCCTATGGCTGGAGCGGTCATGGGCCCTAGAAGGGAACCTACTACTACTGTTGTTTTGCTAAATGGACATGCTGTCAAATTGCCTTCTAAATATTTATGTTTACACTGAAACTTAGTACGGCTTTCTATCTTGGCCAGAGCAGATCCCCGCCCCCCCCCCCCCACCTCCTACAATGGGCAGCATTCAATGCTCATAGCTGATCAAAAGTGCTGAGACAGTTGAATGAGTCTAGTTCTAAATGGGACAGCTATATCAACTCCTCCAATAGCTCAGGGACTCCTGAGGCAGTGAGTGACAGAAAGAATGGTAAATGCCAGAAAATGGGAAGGAGTGTTGTGAAATACTAGCTTCTGGATGTGCCATGGCTCACATTCATGAACTCACAGCCATCTACTGTAACCTGCACAAGAGCAAGCCAGCTGACATTCTAGCTCAGTTGGGAGAAGGACTCATGAGGATTTACCCAAACCTACTTGAGGAGCTATGGGCAACTGATGGCTGCTGGGGGGGCGGAGGGAATGAGTCATTTTTCTTCAGGTTACTGGTAGACTACCCATGCTCTGGTGGATGGCCCTACACCCAAGCACATGAGGCAGCATGTGAGCCAGCAAGCAGAGTTCCTCCATGGTTAGATTCCATTCTAACTGGAATCAGTGGGTTAACAAATTAAAAATGAAGGAGGCATGATGAGGTTTTGGAGGAGAATGGGAGGGAGGACTGGGTTGAGTATGATCCAGATATTCATATGTGAGATTGTCAAGAATAAATATTCTCCAAAAATAGTATTTTCAAGGATATGAGGGGGCTGAACCACTACAATATTCACCTGGCTTCCATCAAGACTCACGAATGTGATCTGCTACTTCTGCAACATCAAGTATGCTACCCTGTGCACACAAGGCCACTTACCTACTAAAATGAGAAAAAACATGACACTGTACCTCCAGGAACTTTAACATGTTTCTCCAAAGGGAAAAGATATTCCACCACACCTTAGAAAATCAAACATTACTCCATATCATGTAAGAGTCCATACAAAAACCTTCTGAAATGTCCCTCAAACGTCTTTAGTGGCCATGCTCAAGTAACTCAAAATCAACCCAAACTGGATCTAGCACATAGGCTAATAGTCCCAGCTACTCAGGAGGCAGAGATGAGAGAATTGTTTGTCCCTAGGAGTTAAAAGTCTAGGCTAAGGACTCAAAAACAAAAGAGAAAAAAATCCAAGTTCACACCCTTTACTTGATCTATTAACAGTCTCATCACCCTTTTATTCATTGACTTTTTTGTTCTTTTAAAAAATACAGACCAGCCGGGTGTGGTGGCCCACGCCTTTAATCCCAGCATTGGGAGGCAGAAACAGGTGGATCTCTGTGAGTTCAAGGCCAGCCTGGGCTACAGAGTGAGTTCCAGGACAGGCTCCAAAGCTATACAGAGAAACCCTGTCTCGAAAAGCAAAAAAAACAAACAAACAAACAAAAAAAACCCCCACAAAACCAAAGGTCTTATTAATACCCCTATATTCCAGTTTTGTTTTACTGTCCCACATAGACTGAGATCAAATGCTACACCAATGGTTGCTAGAGCTTTGAGTAAATATTTTTAAAATAGTTGTTTTTGTAAAATCAATCTTACCCAACATTTGAGGCATTTTACACCATAAAGAAGGTTCCTTGGGACACTGTCAGGAACAGATGTCCCTAAGTAATGTTTTCTTTCCAGATCACTAACAGTCTTTACAAATGAGACTCACACACAAAGACCCCAAGTAGTAATGTGTTTATCATCTGAGGCTACATAATATGAAAAAGGGGAAACTGGAGACAAAGGCTTCCATTACGTTTTTATTTCTGTGTTCTTAGTCTCTAAAAGCCCAAAGCTTTATTGTTAGTTGTACTCTCGAGGTCGACAGATCAACTAAATTAATATAAAATTCTTACCAATTTGTAAGAGCCGAGGAAAGGGTTAGAAAATGTCTAGTGTGGAAGGCCTTTTTCATCACTAAAAGAGAATTTTTCTTTCTCATTCAAAATGTTTTTGAGACAGGATCTCACTATGAATCCCAGGCTGGTCCCAAACTAAAACTCTCCTTGGGACTGAATGAATGAGAATAAACTCTTAAAGAGGTACTGGATTCCCGAGGATGAGTTCCACAAGCTAGATGTGCTCATTCCTGTCTCACCAATGAGCCACGTGACTAGGAAAGGTCCACTAAAGCAAAGGCAAAATTGGGCTCAAACCAAAGTCTGTACAATGGATGACCAAAATCCATTTTTACCTACTACATAAATTACTTCCAGTTGCATTTTTTACTTGGTCATTCATGTACTTAAGTTTTGTATAACCTGAAGAAAGGCCAGGAACCAAGTTCCCACCCACCTTATTCACTTTGCCAGCAGAGTTCATGCCACTCAATTTTGAACAGCTCATGCAGAGCTGTCTATGGCTTCCTTATGACTAAACCCAATTTATCCTTATCTCTTGCCAAAACATCACCACCACCATCTCTCTGCTTCTTGAAAACTACTTATGCCGTGCTTCGCTCATAGGTCTTGTGCGCCAATCCTGATAGCAATACCATTATTCTAACAACCTCAAACCTTACAGTGGAAAGGAGGGGCTCTATTTTATCTTTTAAGTATCTCCAGTGTCTAGCAGAGCATAAACTTTAATGAATTGCAATTAAGTCTCAAAAAGAAAGGAAATTCATTTGAAAACTTTTGCAATTTTCTAATTTAATAGAAATAACCAAAACAATGTGTTTTTTTAAACAAGGCTTCAAACTAATCTAATACAACCTCTACAACACATTCCAGAGCATTGTAACAAGAATTATTTACAGGCAGCTAATGTATTAAATAACCATGAAAAGAAAAAACTTGCTTTTATTACACAGCAGCAAAAAATACAGGAACAGAACAATTAGAAATTGTAACCTTGTTTAAAAAATTAAATATGATCATTTAGAGAATACAATACCACAGAAACAGCACTTTTAAAGAATCATTCTGAAGGATAGTTAACTATGTGCAAAAATAGTAGTAGTAATGAGGGGAGACCAGTTGAAATACTGGGAGGAAGGAACTAGTAAGGCTGTGACTTTGACCCTTTTGTGTGTGCATGTCTACGCAGAAATTAACAGGCTTTCCAAACGCACACACTTTGTGTTATAGGCTTACATCCATGGTTTGCTGCTTTAAACCATAGTAAATGCCTACATTTCTCAGATGAGGAGCAGACAAGCATTTCATTCTTAAGAATGAAATTTAGGCCACAATTGAGTGGAGTATTGTGGCACTTAAAAAATCATTTTGGTGCCTTCATAGGAATTCGTTGAATGTAACACAGTATCACTTTCAGTTTTTAAATAACACTTGCTAGAAAAGGGCTAACCTTGATTCTATACATTCTGTAGTTTAACAAATATACCCAACTTACTTTTGAAGATAATTTAGCTTCTAGATACAATAAAAATATATAAAGGATCACGTAAGGAAACAGAAGTAACTAAGATGGGAGAGATCTTCTGATCAAGTAAAACATGCATTTAGCCAAGTAAAGAAGCCATTATACCCAAGAGTAAATGCTGACATTTGGAAATGTCTATGTAAACTGTGGCATATAAATTTTTTTTTTCTTAAAAAAGTACCTTCAGTTTTTTTTTTACTCAAACAGCTACTTTTAAAAAAATATGCAACTTTCCCCAATTTTTTTAAAATAAAATGCCACAATATATTGTCATTACTTCCAGCATACATTTAAATTTCTTAATTTTTTAAAAGATAGATTGGGTGATATGCATACAAACTTTCCTAAAAAATCACCATCCAGGAGAGGGTTATGACATGCTATTAGGCAACAGACTCAAAGCAGCGTTATTGCTTTATCAAGGAAGCATTAACTGGAAGAAGTAAGTTAATCCAGGTCAGGCGTACAATCCAACTGCAATACACCTTGAAAATCTCAATCACCTTCAGCAGATAACTAGTAAAGAGGCAAAAATGGTGTGTACGTTTAAATATTGTGTTTGGGGGCATGTGTGGAGGTGTATACACTCACATGTTGTGTGTGAGGGTGTATGTGCTAGAGTGCATGTGTGACAGTGTGTATGCTTGCATATCATGTGAGGGTATGTGGAAGTGTGTATGCTCACAGGTTGTGTGTGAGGGTGTATGTGAGGGTGTGTATGCTCACCGGTTGTGTGTGAGGACGTGTGTGGTGTGTATGCTCACAGGTTGTGTGTGAGGACGTGTGTGGAGGTGTGTATGCTCGCCGGTTGTGTGTGAGGACGTGTGTGGAGGTGTGTATGCTCGCCGGTTATGTGTGAGGATGTGTGGAGGTGTGTATGCTCGCCGGTTGTGTGTGAGGACGTGTGTGGAGGTGTGTATGCTCGCCGGTTATGTGTGAGGATGTGTGGAGGTGTGTATGCTCGCCGGTTGTGTGTGAGGACGTGTGTGGAGGTGTGTATGCTCACAGGTTGTGTGTGAGGGTGTGCTGGAGTGCACATGTGGAAGTCAGACGACAACAACTTCAGGTGTTAGTCTACACCTCCCATCTTTGAGAGGAACTCAGCATTGAACATGCCAGGCTATCTGGCCATTGGGCTTTTGGAGACGCCACCTCTGCCTCCCTCCCATCTACTGTATGAGCACTGGGCTCTACTGTGCCCACCTTTCTACAGGTGCTGGAGATCCAAACCCAGACCCTCATGCTTGTGGAACAGATGCTTTTCACCTATGAACCACCTCTCCAGCCCAAAGAAATTGTTTTAATTGAGGGAGATAGGGTGGGTAGGCTTTTTTCTTAAATTTTTATTAACAAACCTATTTACTGATCCAATCCAATGCTGGCTACAAGAAACGGAATTTTTGTACTTTATGTGCTGTACGTGAAAGAGGCTGGGTACCAGATGTAGAGGCTAAGGGGGGGGGGACTACAGCATTGACTCCCCATTTTGAATAGAACAAACTGTTTAATAACATGTGGTAAGCCACAACCCAAGGGCATAGTTGGAAGACCTCAGAATCTGTTGGCTTACTAACACTACTCACTAATAAATACATGGCAGGATACCTGCTGAGGTAATTGATAAATCTATAATTTGCACACTTTAAAGCACTGTCTTTGGATTAACTAAAAAAAAAAAAATCTCAAAACCTGTTATAAGAAAGAATGAGGACTGACTTTTAATAATCTAAGATTTGTAAGAAACAAAAGTGGGGGGGGGGGCAAAAACCCCACAACCTGTTGATTCCAAAGGGGGCAATTTCAGCAGGGGATCTAATGCTTTACCATAGCTCTGTGCTAACTGTTTGGTGTTTGCATGTAAAGCAAGGTTCACAATATAACCAGACGTCTAGAGCCCTCACACACCAGACCTGATAAAGCAGCTCATTAGCTCAGTCAAGCAGTGGAGTCAAGTGTTGAGATAGGTAAATTAAGGCCAGCAGAACAGGTTGAGGAACATTTATCCCTAGTTCTCTAATGGGAAAAATAACCCAAAGTCCATCAAGAACTTTGAAGGACTTAAAGGAATCATCATGTGGACTCTTCTCCATATCTGAGACAGAGGCTCCAGCAAGGAATGCAAACATCAGAGTTATCACATCTGCATCCAGGACTTAAAAGACACTCTGCATCTGTCTTTTAAAAATATAAACAGGGAAACGGGAGATAACTTGAGTAAGAATTTAAGTTTGTATACTTTTTAACCATACTTATGTTAAAGCTGAACAGCCTGGAAATGAAATAATTAATGTGCAAAAAAGGGCTTTATGAAAGTTAAAGTGAATAATCACTTAAGAGAGGCTTGTTGATAGCAATTAAAATTATTCCTCAGCAATAGGGGTATCTTTGCTAATAGAAATGGAGCCAATTATACACTGACCATAAAGAAGCTTCTAAATTGATGGTCTTAAATTAAAAGAAACAAAGGGAAAACAAAAACCCCAAGTAACATGAGAATGATTTTAGGAAATATTCTCTCTCAGGGAATCAAATATTGAGAAACATTTGCTTAAAAATCTGAGTTTGCCCCACTTGACAGAGCTCATTTACAACTTATTACTAAATTGTAAAGGATTAATATGAGAAACAAATATAAAATACTAGCTCAGAAGCTTCACAAAATGAAGCTAACCCTTACTCCCCACTTGACAAATGTACCCTTAGATATACATCTACTTACAAACTAGAATCATGGGTATTAAAGAAAAGAGAAATAGATATAAAAAGAACATGTTAAAAATAAATTTTCTTCCCCTCATATAAAACAGAACTTGAAACTTCAATAAAATAAGACAGTTTGGAGCATTTTTTTTTTAATGAAGCTTAATTTATAAGGAAAGAGAAGCTAGAAGGAAGCCAGGAGATGAAGCAATAATAAGATCAATATTGTTTAAGTGCAGTATGAGAAGACCTAAATCATACTCCTCTTTACCCACATCCCTTGTTAAAAAAAGAAAAACCCAAAAGAATCTGTACAATAATTTCTTTAGAGCACTTTATTTGATTCAATGCACACTAAAAATATTCACTTCTTCGACAATTATGTCAAATAGTTTTCTGAGGAAGTCTACAGTCTGAACTGCTTAAACTGATTTTTTTAAGAGGCAAATGATTTGCCACATATCTGCTGACACCTGAAACATTTCTGATGTTGATTCTACTTTGGTCACTTTATAATTCTACTGTGTCCATACAAAAGTAGGACTACGACTTTTAATCCAACGGAGATGCGCACACAGTCTAGAGCACACTTGATTTGAGCATCACAACGAAGAGGAGAAAAATACACCAGATCAAGATGGTCTATCTGCTTCAGGTACTACTCCTGTCCTCAGGCAGTAAATCAAGTTGGGTTTATTCCAATTACCATTCAAGTGGGGATTGGCTCGTTTTCAGGATTTACTTACAGGTCTCTTCGAAGTCATTTAAAGCCCCCAGTCCATGCACATGTCCCACTTGGTGGACAGATGAGTAATCTAACCCCACCGGGTTTATTTCAATATTTTGATATTTCAATAATAAGCTGCTTCTGAAGATTTTTTTTGAGAAGTCTGTTCTCTATTAAAATAAGATAGAACCTCAAAATATGAATGTGAACATTAGAAATAGACAGCATATATTACAAATCCATTCTTGATAGGAACATTAGTAAGAATACACATTAGCTTAAAAAACAGGCTCAGCAAATGTTGCTGATCTGCCAGAAGTCTGAGCTCACTATTTACAAATAAGACAAAGTGAAATACAGAAAATTGTACACATTTGGTAGCTGACAGATTTCTGTTTACCAATAGTGGTCTACTGGAAACTGGTACAAAGAAAGACTGGGTGAGAGTCAGTTGTCACCTTCTCAATCTAATTTACATGTACAGAAAATTCTGAAATAAATGTTCTGCCTTTTGAGGGAGTAACTGTATGATCGGATGATTTGACCAGTACGTGTAATTGTTTAGAAGGATTTTCTGGAAATGATGTCCATAAATCTGTATGATCCACTACTGAAGTTTTATCATATTCATTTCAGTACACCACTGAAGTTGACCAGATGATCAATGGTTATGTTCTTATAGATCCTACATCTAAGTAGAAAATAAAACTACCATTGATTGGGTTCTTTAAACCAATTTCAAAACTAAGGCCCAATAGATCCAAATGAGAGAAAATACAGTGGCATGATTCAATGCACCTTTAGTGCCATTCAAGTGGAATCTTACTCGATTTTTAACCAGAAAACAACCCATTTGTGTCTGTGTAGGGGGAGGCTTGTAAGTTGTTTGAGTAACTGTGTGCTCCAGCAGAGACACATGATGCAACATAAGCCTCGTAGGCTTGACTCAGTATCCTGCACCAATTAGCGCACATGATCATTTAAGTTCCTAATAGCCAGAAAACCATCTTCATTTGTAACAAATCCTCACTCTCCTTCACTTCTGACTTTGTTCGTAAAGTTGCAGCATTCTCTCCCCATTTCGTGACAAGAATGTTTTCTGTGTCCATTATTTCAATCTAATACTGTATGAAAGCTACCAGCTTCTTAAGGAGGTACCCACTGTACACAGGATATTCCAGTAACTCTTAAATAAAAGGGCATTTTGTTTTGTTTCCTTCTTCTGTTATTTCTTTCTTTTTAAAAAAGACTGATTTCAGTCCACGTCACTTTACTTTATATGCACCGGTCTCTCATCTGACTTTAGGCGCTTTCTGCGAGGCTGTATAAAGTCTTCATCAGAGTCTTCTGTTACGTCACCATCATCCTCTTCCTGCTCAAACTCTGGCAAAGGAGCGAAGGTCCTGTCTGAGTAGATCTCTGAGAGTTTATCTTCAAAGTACAATGCAACTGCTTTCCCTGCCTGAGCTACTTCTGAATCAGCCTGCAAGCAAAAGATAGGAATATTCACCTATTGATAATGCATATTCCTTCACCAAGTGTGCATGGTCTGAAAAGCTTACCTTCAAATTAATCTCTTGTGTGTCTGCATAAACTTGAACAACTTTCATCATCTAAAAAGGATACCAGAGTCAAAAAAAAAAAAGGGAAATTATAATCCTTTCTAAAGTTAAGAAACTGTATAGGATTGGTGACGAAAGTCAGCCATACTAGGGAGAACAAATTGCTAAAACCAGATTAAGTGCTACCTAAAATTCTATAGAACATGGAACCACTTTCTTTACAAAATTGTTAATAAAGTTAATTTGAAGCCTCAATAACAGTCTCATTCCAAATTATTGAGGTCAATCTTAGTAGGAACAGGTCTGAAGACATCAATCTACTCAGAGAAAAATATTTGTGAAACAAATAATAAAAGAAATGCTATTGTAAAAAAAGATCAAACTTTCCATAAGATAATCAGAATTCTCTTTATGGCAATACATTAATCACAAGTAAATTTTCCTTTCCGTTTTGTTTTTGAGCCAGGGTCTCCCTACACAGCCCTGGCTGTCCTAGAACTAGCAAAGATCTCCCGGCCTCTGCCTCCCCAAGTGCTAGGATTAAAGACATGTGCCATCATGCCTGGCCTACATACAAATTAACCCTTAACAAAACAAGAACAGAACATGTTTTTTTGCCAATGATAGTATACAATAGCATATCCATTAGAAAATAAAATATCTTTAAAAAAATCTGGATTTTATAGCTTATAAATTTGAAGTAAGATTTTACTGATTTATTCTGTGGCAAAATCATAGGGATTTGGGTTTGAGTATTAAAGCACCACTTAGATGCCTCTAGAGACAGCTGTCGGTAGATTTGAATTCTCATCCAAGACCACTGTCTTCTATAATGAAAATCTTCCACAAAAACAAACGACTTTATTCCAAAGATAGCAAAGAGTAATTCCCCTGACACAGATTATCTGTCACATTTTTTTTCCCCTTAAGTATGGGTAATATATCTTTAGCCTACAAGAAATAGATAAAGTTAACAAAAGTCTCAATGCAGAAATCAAACCCTCACCATTACATATAGGGACTACTAGTCAATGGGCCTTCAGTTTAGTCTTAACACTCTATGTTAACGTGGACAATGACGGAACTAAACAGGGGCACTGTTAGCTTTCCTGTAAGTGCCCCAAATGTGGGCATACACAATCATATCCCACCAAATTACTTCAGACAACTTCCTATATTCAACCACAACTCCCTTAGGAAAAGATATTCAAGAACACGCTTAGTGTCTTATATTTAAGAATATACTCCAAATTATAAATAATAAACTTTCGTCTCTGGAGCTGAGAATACAATCAGATTTCACTTTTATAGAATGAAATTTTGCTTTTTATAAAATAAAACAAAAACAAACAAACAAAAAACAAAGAAAAACAACCAACCAACCAAATAAAAAAAACCAAATTAGGTAATTCATCAGGAAAAAAACCAAGAACAAAAAACCAAGCAAAGGAGAACTAACAACCCAATACTCTATAGGTTGGAAGCTAACATACTTCATTAAACCTTTCACAGTTCTTGAAGATCAAACGGACATCAGCCACAAAATCATCTGGAATTTGGTAATGCTGGGAATGTTTTTTCTGAAGCTTCTTTTTCACCGTCGATAAATCCATTGGTTTCTTTATAATTTTATAGTAGTTCGGTATCTGAAAAATAAATCATGGCAGGTCAGAATTCTCCAAAATATCAAACTATTTAATTTGAAAATGTACAGCATATTAATTATATTTGAGGTACAACAAATATATTTCCAACTTTCTGTCCCAACTGTATCTTGAATACCAAATCCTACTGTAAAATATGTGCTGGTTTCCATGGCTACTAGAAGTTCCGAAGTCTTATCATTAATAAGCATGAATGGAAAAAAGCAACCAGCAGAAATTGCCTCCCTCAAAACTTAAGAGCTATATCCAGCTCATTTTGGTACTTGATGACTCTAAGAGCTCTTATAAAACATTTTTAAAGGAGAAAGAAAAAAAAATTTTTTAAATAATTTATTTTTATTTAATGTATGCATGCCTGTGTGAGGGTGTTAGATCTTGTAGTTACAGACAGTTGTTAGCTGCCATGTGGATGCTGGGAATTGAACCCAGGTTCTCTGGAAGAGCAGTGAATGCTCTTAACCGCTGAGTCATCTCTCCAGTCCCGAAAGAAAACCAATTTTAAAGTCTATTAATGTATAGTTAAAGCACAGTGTTGTAGAAAAAAAAAACATCACCTCACACAGCAATCTTGGCAACGCTGGAGGAAAAGTTTGCATTTAGTGTTCTGACTCCACCTTTGGCCACAAGTTTTCTACCCTTAAGATCTAAGTGAACACAGTAAGGGGCTGGAGGGTTTGGACTAGTTTTAAGAAAACAGTCTAATATGCAGCTCAAGCTGGCCTCCTGTCAGCCTCCCGTGTATCTACCACAATGGTAGCACTACCATATTAAGCTAGAAGCTAACTGAATACGCCATGAAAAGAAAACATTAGGAATTCTTTTCTATTGTGAACAACCTGAACTTAAAATAAAAAGGCTTTCTAGAATCAATGACTAGTACTTGTACTAGTACTTTCCATTTGTTTAATCTTTTGTGCTTTTAAAATTCATTTCTTAGCCTACTCAGTAAATAGGTCAACAACCATTCAATACTCTGTTAACATGTTCACATTCAACAACAAATAGCTAACACGTGCACACAGCACATTGTATTATACTAATCAGGCAGAGAGAACTTCTAGCCCTTTTTTATTGTAGTAGTTTATTTTATTTTTTATTTTTTTGGTTTTTTGAGACAGGGTTTCTCTGTGTAGTTTTGTGCCGTTCCTGGATCTCGCTCCGTAGACCAGGCTGGCCTCGAACTCACAGAGATCTGCCTGCCTCTGCCTCCTGAGTGCTGGGATTAAAGGCATGCGCCACCAACACCTTTATTGTAGTATTTTAAAGCCTTTATTCCAAGTCTCCAGTATAATCAACAAAAAAACCACTAACACGCAGTCTCCTAGGTGTCTTTTCTCAATCTTAACTATATACATTAAGAGGATTTTCAAATGGCAAAGCCATTGTGAAAAATTCTTCCATACACTTTTATTCAACTAACATTTATAGATTTGTTTTCTCTATCAGCAACACTGGAAGAGCAGAGATGAACTCAAATAATTTCACATTTCTACTATACAATTAGAAACGAAAGGCAGCAAAGCACACTGTGTTCTCAGTTACAAAGTTAGCTGACACGGGATGTGGTAGTTCACACTTGTAATGTAGCTCTCTAGAGTTACAGGCAGAATCCTGTAGAGAAAAGAAAAATAGAGAGGAGAGGAGAGGAGAGGAAAGAACTAAAAGAACAAGCTTTTGCCCCGGTTCAATGTTCTTCTCATTAAAACTATTTCCCTTATGTCAATCTTAAACGGAGAATGTAGAAATAACAGTTTCTATCAGAGAAACATATACACACAATTTTTTTATTTTATTTAAAAAAAAGACAGGATACAGTGCCTTGCATAAACCCAAGCTGTCCTCCAAACTGCTATCTTCCTACCCTAGCTACCCAAGTACTAGCAACACCATGCCTGGCAACAAAGGTAATTTTAACAAATGAATCATACATCCATTTAGCTCTAATAAAGTTTCTGATTTGGAATGAGGGTATAACTCAGTCATGGAACACTTGACTAACAAGAAGCCCAGGTTCAATTTCCTAACTAACACACATACATGCTAATTAAAGAACAGACCCTTAGCAAAGTTATACTCTATTTATATACACATTTTACACTGATTATTTTATATAATCTTCTGAATATCTCAATGAAGTTAAGAATAGTAGTGGCATACATCTTTAATCCCAGCACTCAGGAGGCAGAGGCCAGTGGAGCTCATACACATAAATTTTTTAAATTGTAAAAACAGTATTTTAGGAGCTGGAGAGATGGCTCAGCAGTTAAGAACACTGGCTACTCTTCCAGAGGACCTGAGCTCCATTCCCAGCACTCACGACAGCTTACAGTTATTGCTAACTACAGTCCTAAGGTATCCATGCCTCTTCTAGCTTCCCCAAGCACCAGGCATGCCCACAATGCACAAATATACATGGAGACAAAATATCCAAATACATGCAAATAAATTTAAGAGAATAATAGTTAGTACTTTATTTTTTAAAAGGTGTTTACAGAACATTTATCCCAGCAGTAGGGAAGCAGAGAAAGTCAGATCTCTGTGAGCTCTAGGAGAACCAGTCTCAACCCACTCCTACCCCCACCACAAAAAAAGAAAAAGGTGATTTAGAGTCTGAAGTGAGAGACAAGGTAAGAAAAGAAGACATTGTCCAAAGAATATAAAACTTCAGTTAGACTGGTGTAAAAGTTCTATTGATCTACTGCCTTACTAAGATGTAAATCACATTTAATGATACATTGCATATTTCAAAATTCTTTAAAGATTTGACATTCCATTCTCATCACAAAAAAGTTAAGGTGTTGATGAGCATGTTAATCTGATTAAATCTTTCAGTTTATATAGATCAAAACATCCAACTATACCCTAGAAATATTCACAACTTATCAATTAAGTTCTAAAAGATGGGGAGGAAGTTATCAGAACATACTGAGTCATAGAATAGTTAAGCAACTCACTGAAGAAGCCCCATCTAAGCCACAGCCCACACTCTTTAAGTATTAGATTTCTTTATCAGGGTAATACTAAGGCATGCAACTCACCGAAACAGGAACGGGCTCCTGGAATTCAATACTTAATTCATGGCAATAGAGGTAAAGCAGGAGACGTTCACATTTCTGGCCCCCAAAAGAAAAAAAGAGACAATTTTTTTTCTCCGATAAGATATTTTGGAGAATATAACAATAAAGTATTATAACAACAAACTGAACAGTGCCTTCTACATAATAGATATCAAACAAAATAATTTTACTTTCCATTAAATTTTAAAACTATGTTCTATTCTACTTCAATTAAGTATACTTTTATTCTAATAGAACTAAGGTAATTTATCTATTATTAATTCTTGTTTACAGAAATATGAGTCATAAAAACAACTTACAGTAAATGAGTAAAGGCAGGCAAAAACAAGTATTCCTCTGTTTTTCAATGACTCCATGCAGGTTCAAAAATTACCTCTCCAATGCAATTAAAAAAATCCAACTTCTCTTTTCACTCTTTCTTTTATACTTCTTGAGATGCAGTTTTACTATATAGCTCTGGCTGGTTAGAACTTCTATATAGATCAGACTTGGCCTAAAACTTGTAGCCACTCTCTTGCCTCTACTGCCTGAGTCTACTGTGGAATAGTCCTCTTGTACACTGTAAAGATCTGTCACTGGAGTAAGTTCAGACAGGCAGGAAGAATGGAGAGTGCGACCAAACTAAGAGTACTGGTTAGAGAAAGGATGGAGTCAGGAGTCGCCAGCCAAATACAAAGGAGGCAAGATGAGAATGCCATACTGAGAAAAGATACCAAGCCTGTGTCTAAACACAGATAAGAATTATGGGTTAATTTAAGTGTAAGAGCTAGTTAATAATAAGCCTGAGCTACCAGTCGAGCATTTATAATTAATAAAAGCCTCTGTGTGGTAATTTGGGAAGCAGCTGCTTGGCATTTGGGAGTTGCTGGTGGGACAGAAGATTTTGAGTTTCATTTTTAACATGGGATGCTATTAAAGAACTGTAGGGACTGGAAGGATGACTCAGCAGTTAAGAGCAATGATTGCGGACCCAGGTTCAATTCCCAGCAACCACATGGCAGATTGTAACTGTGTGTAACTCCAGTTCCAGGGGACCTGAAAACCATGGCAAAACACTAATGCACATAAAAAATAAAATTGAAAGAGACAGAAAAGAAAAAAGTCCTGTTAAAAGAATTGTAAACAATGAAGTGATAAATTTATTTACATTTTTTTAAAAAGAGGAAGAACACTGCTTAAATATAGAAAAACAGACTAAAAGGGTAAGAGAAGAAATAAGAAAATCATCACAAAATTATCAAAACAGTCCACATAAGAAATTACGAATGTGGGGGCTGGAGAGATGGCTCAGCGGTTAAGAGCACTGGCTGTTCTTCCAAAGGTCCTGAGTTCAATTCCCAGCAACCACATGGCGCTCACAACCATTTGTAATGAGATCTGGCACCCTCTTCTGTCAGGCAGAACATTGTATACATAATAAATAAGTAAATCTTTAAAAAAAAGAAATTACGAATGTGATAAAATGATAATGATGGGGAGCTAAAAGAAAATGGCATTACACTCATGTTTGACTTTTCATCTCATAGGTTTCTTTTTTTTTTTTTTGGTTTTTCGAGACAGGGTTTCTCTGTGTAGCTTTGCGCCTTTCCTGGAACTCACTTGGTAGCCCAGGCTGGCCTCGAACTCACAGAGATCCGCCTGGCTCTGCCTCCCGAGTGCTGGGATTAAAGGCGTGCGCCACCACCGCCCGGCTCATAGGTTTCTTAATGCAACAATAGAGGTGAACAATGATACCATTTAGTGATAGGGAATACTGAGAAAGGAATTGTTTGCCTGGTGTTTGCTATCATTTTGAGGGAGAGGATCAGAAATCAGGATTTTAGTTGAAAGACATTAAGTGAGAAGTCTGGCCTGATGGTACATGCTTGTAATTCTCAGCACTCAGAAAGGAGCACTACTGCAAATCCCAGCCCACCCAGCGCAGTACAGCAACAGATTACTGCCTTTAAAAAAAGTCTTGAACCCAAAACTAAAAATAAAGACTTTAGAAATCTTAATACACCAAACAATACAAAACTTACCAAGTAATGTGCACAGTACAAAAGGGTGGGGACTGTGCATCGAATGGGTGAGAGAGGAAGCACAAGATACATAGGCTGACAACCATAAAATCCCTTTTAACAAGTCAGTTTTGACACTTAACTTACCCTTTGGTCCACAGGGCTTAAGCCCTGTGCAGTTTTCCCCTTCTTACTGTGTTGCATATTATCACAATCGTATTCAACTTCCGGCTTCCCAATATCTCTGCAAAATGTGCATATCCAGTCTCCACTGCACAGGGAAAAAGGCAATTAGTCCAGGAATCACAACAAAGCCTATTCTGGAGAAGATAAGTCCTTAGTTATAAGTCTCTAGCTTATTTTCTTTTTGTTTCCTTTTTTTTTTTTTTTTGGGTGAAAACGACTTCTTTCTTTATTTATTTATTTTATTTATTTTTTTTTTGGTTTTTCGAGACAGGATTTCTCTGTGTAGCTTTGCGCCTTTCCTGGATCTCGCGCTGTAGACCAGGCTGGCCTCGAACTCACAGAGATCCGCCTGCCTCTGCCTCCCAAGTGCTGGGATTAAAGGCGTGCGCCACCACCGCCCGGCTGACTTCTTTATTTTTTAATCTCTTAAGCTGTACAATAAATTCTCCAAAACTTTTCCCAATTACACATCAAGTGATAACCTTCTGGAAATCTATAAAATGGAATCTCTACATTAAACACTAATCTGTTCATGACACAAGTCAATGATTGGTTTCTGCATCAAAATACCTGACAACTTCTCTCAAGTCCCCATATTGGCATCCCATGGTTCTAATTCTGTGACAGGAAAACAATCTGTCAGTCAATTACTTTCTTCCAAGCACAAAGATCTACTTGGCACCATCACTCCTATCACAGGGGAGATGGGTGGAGGAACCCTGGGGCCCACTGGCTGGCAAGCTTCGCTATTTAAGTAGTTCAAGTAGGCATCTGAGAAACAACACTCCAGGCTGTCCTCTGGCCTATACCTGCATCTCCCTCTACAATGTGCATACATACAAAGAAAATAGTAGAGAGAATGTCTTATAGTGTTCTGAAGTGTATTAAATAATACACCAACAACAAATCAAATCTTTTTCACGATCACTCAAAAAACTAGATATACAAACACATTTTTGTAAGCACAAGCATATATATTCCTTTCACTTTTAATTCAGATAAAATAATTTTTTAAATTAGGATTTCTATTAAATTATAAATTTCACAAATTATTTGTTCATACTTTTTATTTACTCCTTGTCTATATATAAATATACAGCGATAAATAGAGGCATACTAATCTAAGTAGATGAACAAATAAATACTAATTCTAGGAGTTTTATACAAAATCTATGTCAATAGTTTATATTCCTAAGTGTCTGCCTTTGAAAACTGGCAAAATCTTAGCTGGACATGGTGGTACATGCCTTTATTCGAGTACCAAGGAGGCTGAGGGAGGTAGATCTTTGTGAGCTCAAGGCCAGCCTGCCTGGTCTATATAATGAGTTCCATAGGACTACACAGAGAAACCTTGTCTCAAAAAAAGACTGACTCTAAGTTGTTCTCTGACCTCCAAACAGGTTCCACAACACTATGTACAAATGTGCATGCACATGTGCACAGACACAGACATAAAAATGTGAGAAAAAAGCTTCCTAGATCATCAGCAAATCATATCTGATAAGATTTAGGTAGGTAATACAAATAAAAAACAAAACAAAAACAACCAAAAAATATCCTGGCACTGTTTATATAGCTATTTCTCTTTCCATTTCAGTGCTTGAAATTAAACCCAGGGGCACATGCTCAACCAATGGGCTATATATTCTCAGCCTCATTAACTGCTGTTCCATCTTTCAATGGGCTTTTTTGAGAAAAGCCCAGAACAACTTTTTGTTATACATTTAGATTTGAGAATAAAAGGCCTAAAAAAAATCAGTTATTTCAGCAGTACCTGGGAAAGCTGAGAAGTGTTGGAACATGACAAGTAAGATGAAAGACCTTCGGACATTTTTCACAGCATAAAAGATCCCCTCCATTCTGGCAGACGGCACACCAGTCTTCATTTGGGTCGTCATCTTTGCTATTGCCATCTCCTCCAATCCTTGCTGACCTGTGCATGAGGTTTCGAACTGGAGACTTTCCATTAACTAGGCTACTGAGTCCTGACTGTTTGCAGCTTTCATTCATATCTGTAGGTTCAGTTTTCACATGGTTCTCCAGGCCTGTTAATGTATCCAGCTCACTCTCTAGATGGAGGTTAGTTGAAAGAGGTGGTGTCAAACTACTCTCAGGACTGCTCAACTACAAGAAAACAAAGACAAGTTTTTAAAAAATCATTTAATCCTTACTTGTATACAGTGTGTGTATGTCTATATTAATATACATACACTAAAATTATTCTTTAAATAGCATTAGTGAAATAAAAGAATACAAATAACCTAATTACTTACATATAATAACATGATTTTCCAGGGTTCTGTCCCTCTAGTATTAGTTCACTCAAGTAATTCAGAAATTTAAACCATTATACACAGTGATTGAGAAATGAACTAACAATCATACCTTTCCTACAGAGAGCTTACTACAGTACACTATTTTTCCAATTAAAATCAGTTATATAGCATTTGAGAAATATTTTATACTATCCTTTGGCACATATATCATTCAAGTGATAGAAGACTGTGGCAATGTAAAACAGATCTTTCACCACACTACCCTTTTCACTGGGGCACTTTCTAAACTAAGAGTTTCAGTGGAAAAAATGGCATTGTTATACACATCCAGCTTAAGTTGTAGCTCTTTAATCCATACATTGCACTGAATATAGTAATACGCTAAGATTCCTATGTGCCAATAACAGACAGAAAAGTAAAAAGACTGGGCAGGAAGAATACAAATTGTGAAATATATGAAGATGGGTTTGGACATTCCTTCATTCTGTTTTATAAATTATATAAACTATTTCATCTACGAAGCTTTAGAATGGTTATTATAAGACAAAAAGGAACTCTTTCTATCACAAAGTCTTTGATCAACAATCTTCCTTCACACAAACTATCTTAGTGTTGAGCTCCTAGGTTATAAAACACAATAGTTAAGGTTCTGCTGTGGCCTTGAGATCCTATGTGTACATTGAGAACATTAATAGAACATAATTTAGCATCATGGCATTAGCAATAATTAAATATAAATTCCAAGATAATATCAAGTGAGTACTTAATGCAATCAAGTCTTTCTGATTAATTATAGCTGATTCTTAAAAACAAACAGAAAAGGAGATACTTAGCTTATGTCAGACAGAAAAATTTAAAGACAAATAAATATGCCTACTCTGATGGGAGGTCAGTAAAGTGACCTCCTAAGGTCTGTCAAATCCTGGGGAGCTTACCATGCAGGCACTCCTCCTGCCATCCTCTGTCTTCTCTTGTTTCACAGCTCCTGAAAAGCTGCATATCTCTTCCTCAGTCCCAGGTTCTTGCTTGACCTTCACCTGGTCAGATTTGAAACTATGATTTTTCTCAGCAGTTCTTCCTGACGATCCACAGCTAATAAGAAACAAAAGGTACGTTTGACTGTATAGCATAAGCAAAGTGAAAGTACTATTATTAAAAGATAGTAGACCATTACCTCAAAAAGGAATGTAACAGACAAAATTCCAGACCTTAAAATTATACTTCATGATCTGAAATACTTAAGAGTAAACAGTGAACCACTTAAGGATTCTAGTAAATGATTACATTTCTCCATGCCACCACAAGTTGAATATCCCTATTTCAAACACCTGAGATTAGTTTTGAGATGTTTTTCCTATTCTGAAACATTTACATATACATAGGGTGGGATGATTTGGAATGGAACTCAAGTATAAATATGAAATCCATTTCTGTTTCTTACATATACAACCTGAAAGTAATTTCATACAATAATTTAAGTGCACCCAGCAATTTGATTGCAACCTATCATAACATGAGACTAGGTAGGGAATTTTCTACTTGGAGCATCATACTAGCGCTTGCATTTTAGAGTATTTCAAATTTCAGGTTAGGGATGCTCAACCTGTAGCATAAAATGTCAGTGATCGTGCCTCTTTATACAAATAGTTCCAGGACGACCGTCTCAAACAGCTAAAGAATACAACATCAGCACAAGTTGTAAATAAAGCCTCACAAAGAAACATTATTTCAGGAGGGAACAGGAAGAAAAGGACAGTAAGTAGCAAACAACCTGACACAAACTTAGAATCACTACAATGAAAGTGGAGAGTACAGATACATGGCTAAAGGTTCTATAAAGCACAACCAACAACAATTCACCACTGAGCAAAGTAAAAAGACTAGTATAGCTAGGGCTGGAGAATGGCTCAGCAGGTAAAGACTACTCTTCCAGAGGACTTGGGTTCAAGTCCCAGCAGCCACAACTGTCTCTAACTCCAGTTCCAGGTAATCCAACACCCTTACACAGACATACATGCATGCAAAACATTAATGCACATAAAAAAAAGTTGAAAAAAAAAAAAACAAAACACTAGCATAGCTAGTCAGAATGAGGTTTTCACTGTTTATTGTTCTTTTGAAAGCACTGGTTATTTAAAGTACTAAAGAGCCAAATAAGTACTTTTACTAGGAACAGCTTTCAGAATATATAGACATGTAAAACCCCAATTCTCAAATATCTGTTAAAATTTCACACTGTATTAAATTATACAAAGTACAAAACAGTAAAAAGGTTGTATTTATTATGTTTAATCTTAAAACATATTTCTTAGCTCTATCCACTGAAAAGTCCAAAGGACAAAAATGAACAATTTAGAAGTAATGAGTGTTCTTAATACCTAGGACAATATTAAAATTGTATCGGAATAAGTGGAATCATAAAAGTATAATAGTCAAACTCCTGGGACACTACTGAAGAGAACTGGAAATCAATTCACCACAAAAGTCAATAAAGAAAATTTATCCTGCCACCCCTTAACTCAAGAATTGACAAAGTTTCTTTATATAAGTATTCTAAAGTAATAATTATCAAAATAACATTTTTCAAAGAGTAAAGGAACTTGCCACGAAGCCCAACAACCTCAATTTGATCTCAGGGCCCGCACGGTAGAAGGAGAAGTCATTCCCATAAGCTGCCTTCTAACACCCCCTACACACACACACACACACACACACACACACACACACACACACACACACACACACACACACACACGGCAAATTTAAGGAACTCCCTGGACAGCCAGCCAGCCAAATCTGAGCTTCAGGTTCAGTGATTGTCTCAAAAAGTAAAGTGGAGAAGTGAGCAAGACAGTGATTGTCTCAAAAAGTGGAGAAGTGAGCAAGACATCTTACACACACATTCACTGCCCATATGTACACAAACCACATATACAAAAAGAAAAGTACACGCTCCCAATGGAAGCACACAGTATTACAATTGAAGTATTCCTGCTTCCTCCTAATTAAGTCCAAATCTCTTATTTCTAAGGTTTATTTTTAAGTGTGTGTGTGTGTACACATACACCTGACTTAGGTGTCTTGAAAAGCTAAAAGTGGTAGATCTTATTTGAGCTGGAGTCACAGGCAACTGTGAGTTAACTGACATGGATACATGGATACAAGAATCACAGAGCTCTTAACCTCTGAGTTACCTCTCTAGCAATCCCCAGCCTGCAATCTATTGCTCTAAATTACCCACACGGACAAAAAGGGAAGCAAATAAATAACAGTGAGAGAAATAGAAGTCTACAAGAGAAACCTCTACGCCCGTAAACTGCTGTACTACAAATAAACTGATGCTGTGCAAACTGATCTGCCGATGACAGTGCATAGGACTTATTTAAATGTGGTTCAAATCAGTAATTTGTTTAAAAAAAGCATTTATGTGAATCAATTGGGAACTTAATAACTGGATCTAAACTGAATAGTTACAAGTAAAATGACGTAATTTCTGAGATTTGTTTGAAATAATCCAGACAAGACAAGAATAGAAAAGAGTACAAAGGAAAGAAGACTGGGCATAATTAATGTACTGACTGCTGAAACCCGGCATATGAAAATTAGTTTACTTTTATTAGCTATATTTGAAATTTTTCTTCATAAAAAAGTTGTAAGTAACATAATACCAGGAAAAAAAAATACTCACCTGCCTCGACTGCCAGTGCTAGATGTACTAGGGGGTCTCACAGGTGTGTGAGAATTGGATAAGCCTAAAAAACAGTAGTCAGACTGAGCATCAGAATGGTCACACAACACAGCCTAACTCAGAGACTCTTGTAAATCAGACAGCTGTAAAGTCAGAGATGGTGAATGTGATTAGCAGGCATTGACCAGCTTCTTCCAGCTGAATCCAGACTGACCTTAGCATCTTCTAAGTATTACCCATAAGCAAGAAGCAGCAGATTGAAAAAGTTGTCATTTCTTCACATCATAAAATAGTCTATATATCCTTAACTCTTTTTTAAAAATTGAGACGGCGTTTCATTATATAGACCAGACTGGCCTTAAACCCTCAATCATCCACTCTCTCCATCTGAGTGCTGACACTACAATATGCACAAATCAACCAGACATTCATCCTTTTTCAATGTCCCCCACCCCGAAAAAAATTCTTACTAAAACTCAATGATACAATTTTAAAAATGTTAATAATATACTTCATGTACAAATCTGTACCTTGGCCAGGCGGTAGTGGGGCACACCTTTAATCCCAGCACTCAAGAGCCTGAGGTAGGAGGAGTTCACCTACCTCAACTACAAAGTACCAGGCTAGCCTAAGCTACAATCTGAGACCCTGCTCAAAAACTCCAAAAGAAAAAAGGAGAAAAAAAAGTATATTCCTGAACGGCTTGACTGTTCATCTGTTTGGTATTACTCCAACCATGAATTTTTAATGTCTCAGCTGAAACCACATGACAGTAGGAACAATAAAACTGGGGTATGAGTAGAGAACTACACTTTACATATACTTTAATTGTTAAAGGCAAATTTAAGCTTTTTATTTTAAAATTACAACTTGAACATTCAGTTTTCTTCAACTTTATTAAACAACTTTTCATTACTTTAAAACTATTTTGAGTTGAAATCTCATAATTCAATTCATCATCCACACTATAAAACATATGACATAAAAAACTAATACACAGGGCTGGAAAGATCGCTCAGAGATTAAGAGCACTGACTGTTATTCCAGAGGTCCTGAGTTCAATTCCCAGCAACCACATGGTGGTTCACAACCATCTGTAATGAGATCTGGCGCCCTCTTCTATATAGATAATAAATAAATAAATAAAAACAACAACAACAACAACAAAAAGCTAATACACTCCAAACTCACCAGAGAATGAGTAAGGTGGAGTTGGATGCTTTAGTGTTGTCAAAAGATAGGACATAGGTACGCTCTGTACCATTCTAGCCAGTTAAAGATTGTCAACATTATTTAAACATATATGCATGTGCCTGGTGGTGGTGGGGATACACGCCTTTAATCCCAGTACTTGGGAAGCAGGGGCAGGGAGAGTTCTGCAAGTTCAAAGCCAGCCTGGTATAAACAAAGTGAGTTCCAGGACACCCAGGGCTATACACAAAGAAACCCTGTCTTGAAAAACAAAAACAAAAACAACACCAAAAAAAACCAAAAAACCCCACCATACATGTATTCATATTTGAAAAACCAACCAAGAAAATCCAACAGACCTTGAGAAAAGCAAATTATCCACCACAATCCAAGTGAGCCTCATTTAACCAGCTGAAGCCCTTGAAAAATTAGAACTATTTCCTTTAGTCCGTTACTGCATTTTACTCTGGACACTAGACTACAAAGTAACATAATCCCAAGTCTCCAGCTAGAAAAAATGCCCTGTAGATTTTGGACTTGCCAATACCCAGAAAAAGAATCAAGAGAGCCAATTCCTTAAGATAATTCCTTATCGTCTTCTATCCTCCCTACCACATCGTGAGTGAGTGAATGAGTGTGTGTGTGTACAGTGCATATCCACACAATAGATCGCCACACACCTCCCTCTTGTTGCTGTTTTTACCTGATACAGATACCAGGAGACAGCCTTCACTCCTCCACCCCGGCCTGAAGGTGTTAGAGCAATGAAGCAATATCCTTGTTTGTTTTACCTGAAGATCCAGGTGATAACGCAGAGGGTCCTGGGGAAGGATTCATGGTACTTGTAGGCTGTGGGGGTAGATGACTGCCTGAGATATATCTACTCAGTAGATTATCTAAACTACTTGAGCCAGCATCTTCCAACTAAAAAGAGATAAAAATAAATTTGCTTTGATTAAACTGAGGATGAATAAATTAATGTCACTGTTTGTTCTCACTTTACCATAACAGATTTATGCAATATCAAGTTCAACCTAACTGTTGCTTCCTTAGGCTCTTCTGAGAACACAGTAAGTTAATGCTACTGATACTGTAATTTATATTATACAACAGATACCCAGCTGCTAAGACAAACAATCCATTAAGCCCTGTCCAACTACAAAAACAGTTCTGACATACTAACAATTAGTTCACTTTCTTCTTTCAAAATTGCTGGAGTACCTTTGTCCTCAGTCTCCCTTCCTCCATTTTAGTGTCCCATTAGAATCATTCACACAAAGAGAAACAAATGCCAAAACCAAACCTTAAGCTCTGACAAATTCTTACATCAGTATCCAGCCTGACCAAAGCACATCACTGTATACGCAAGAAAGAAAAAGCAGGAAATCTGAACTCATTTCATACTCAGAGGCAGTAGGATAAGGTCAGGGGATAAATTGTTGCAATTTTGGGACAGTTCTCCCCCGCTCCCCCCAAAAAGCATCAGTTTCCTGTCTTAAAATAAGCCATCTATCCTGCAGAATGTGATGCTTCATTGAGAAAATATTTACACAAGTAAAAAGACACTGTTGAAAGTATCTGAAAATCCACACTACTCCTAAGTAATTGTCAAATTATTATTACTTGTTAATATTCTTGCTTACTCTATTTATTCCCACACCCCAATCTGTTCTCCAGACAAAGGTCAAATTATTCCTTATGCAAAGCTACTTCTGGCTTAGAACAAAACTATGTACTAACTGAATGCTCTCTTTTCTTCTTAAAAGTGAACTAATTTTTATAGCAATAAAACAAATGCCAGGCAATGGTGGCACATGCCATTAATTCCAGCACTCAGGAAGCGGAGGCAGGAGGATTTCTGTGAGTTCAAGGCCAGCCTGGTCTAGAGATAGTTCTAGGACAGTCAGGGCTACACAGAGAAAGAAACCCTATCTCAAAAAACCAGAATTAAATAAACAGATAAACAAGCAAACAAACCAATGCAGAACTGGAAACTAAGAATGGAACAAGGGAGGATCCTCCTTAAAACCAAAAATCACAATTTCCCAAAGCCCTAAATAAATCCCAAGCCAGTGACAAGCCGGACTGAAGGTGAGAAGGCTGAATTAGAAAGAACAAAAAGTAACAGTATTTCTGTCCATCTATCCTGAGGATATAGCTATTGGTTAAACACCCATTTGTAAGCTGTAACTACAGGAGAGTCCCTAACTGCGACTCATGTTAACTAGATATAATCACTTAAGAAGGGAGCTCTTTTGTTGTTTATTTATTATAAGATTCATTATTATTATTTTATCGTGCATGAGTGTTTTGCCTACAATTATGTACACCGTGTGTGTGTGTCTTCAGAGGTCAGATGATGGCACTGGATCTCTGGAACTAGAGTTATAGGCAGTGGTGAACCACCATGTATGTGCTGAAAATTAAACTTGAGTACTCTGTGAGAGCAGCTAGTACTGAGCCATCTATCCAGGCCCAGACAGAGTGATAAAAAAAAAAAAAAAAAAAAAATAGGGAAAATAACAACCCTAGTCTACTCCTTTAATATTTTCTACCTACAATTTTTATCTAGGTAAATAGATGACCCTAAAGTTGAATGAGTCAATAGGTCAGGAAGACGTGGACATGAATACAATCATCATGAATAGAGTTAAAAGTCATCTCATGGGCTGGATGTTAGGGAAGCAGAGGCAGCAAGAAGATCTCTTTAAGTTCAAGACCAGCCTGGCCCACATAGTAATTTCCATGGCAGCCAAAGTGACACAGTGAGACCAAAATAAATAAATTAATTAAAATAATTTAAAAACCATCTAACTTGAAAAACATCAATTCATTTATTATTAAACATTTATTTATTAGTACCCCCAAATAACTGCATGCGTGTTACCTAAGTTCTATAAATAACTTGTGGTGTAAAAGCAAAGGCCATACAAAGGAAAACTGCAGACCTCTCACAGAAATAAAATGAACATAACAAAGAACACACTCAGAGATGAAAATCAAGCCAGCTTGATGGTACACACTTATAATCCTTATACCCACTCCTTAGCAGGAGGATCACGAGTTTGAGGCCAGTCTAGGTTACTTGGTGAGGCTGTCTCAAAACCACAAAGGAAAGGAGGAAAAAGAAGGTGATTGTAAAGGAAAAGGGAAAGGAGATGTAATTAAATCACAATGATGTCATTTTACCTACCAGACTGGCAAAGATGAAGACTGATTTTAATCCAGTATTGGGAAAGGCAAAGCCGAAACGGATAATCTAAAATGTGTAAGCTGGTAGGATTGAGGATGAATGTACTTGCCAACCAAGCCTGGCACCCTACCTCAGTTAAATCTCTAGCACCATCAAATGGGCAAATGATCAAAAAAGCGAGCTAGTCCAATGGTACATATATTTGACCTCTCCTGAAACTAAACTCTTTTTTCAAGTGGTCATTGTATTTTATACTCCTACCAACAGTGTGTGAGGAATCTAATTCCTTTACTTTCTCACCAATAGTAGTATGGTTAGTATATTAAGTTTCAGTTATCATCTCCATAGTGACTAGTAATGGTTTTTCAAATGAACAGCTGTTATGTTTTTTAAATGTAATTTTTAAAATAATTTTGTTTATGAATGGTTGCCTGCATGGATGCATGCACACCACATGCATGCCTGGTGCCCAACAAATTAAAGAATCATGTAGTTTTAAAAACAAGAAAGCTAAGGCAGGCGGTGGTGGCACATACCTTTAATCCCAGCACTCGGGAGGCAGAGCCAGGCGGATCTCTGTGAGTTCGAGGCCAGCCTGGTCTACAGAGTGAGTTCCAGGAAAGGCACAAAGCTACACAGAGAAACCCTGTCTCGAAAAACCATAAAACAAACAAACAACAAGAAGAAGAAAGCTATAGGAACTGACAAGAAAAATGGGGCATTTTCATTTTTTTTCTGATTAACTTAAAAACAAATACCACCTATAATGGGTTAGTTTTAGAAAATCTACAGAGGCCTTCTAAACTTGGGGAAAAAATCAGCTAGAATATTCTTCCCACCCCTCCTCACCTCCGATGAAGCCCTTCAAATACAAGGCCCTTGCTGAACACAGGATAAAATTCAAACTCCTGTATGCAGCTTACTAAGGTCCCATAAACCCACTTCCTATTGTCTCTAGACTCCTTTCTTCCCATTCCTGCCTCCTTTTGCATTCCTCACTGGCCTTACTTTTGCTCTTCAAAAGCTCCTTTCTACCTCATTGGGCTTCAACATTCTGTTCCTTTTACCTCATATAATTTATTGCCAACAACTCCTTTCCTAATTTCTACTCAGTCTACAGGTTTCCAGGAAGTTAAATACCTTACCAGATTGACTTTGTGCTTTCCTCTTTAAGAAACAATCATGAGTAGGATTTAAAACATGTTTACTCACTCTCCTGCCAGCAAGCCTCTCTTGTCCCCACTGTTCCTCAAGAAAAGTGCTTAACATATTTCTCAAGTAAATAATGTTTCCCTTTAAATAAAATCTCTTGGTTCTTCCCTTAAAGCTCTTCCCTTAAAGCTACTTTATAAATATTGGAGGCAGGCTAGTTATAACAACTAATATTTATTAAATATATGCATTGCAGACACCACTTAAATAAATTAATTATTTACTCTTCTTAGTAAGCCTACAAGGCAAATCCTATTAGATGCAAACTTTTAAGAACTTAAAGAATGGCTGGTTGGGCGTGGTGGCGCACACCTTTAATCCAGCACTTAGGAGGCAGAGGCAGGTGGATCTCTGAGTTTGAGGCCAGCCTGGGGTACAGATCAAATTCCAGGACAGCCAGGGCTACACAAAGAATCCCTGTGTCAAAAAACATAAAAACAAAACTAACAGAAACCTCAATCTCTAATCTTACTTTACTATACTGCAAGCTGTATTACAACCAAGTACTGATACCTTGGTGTTTTTTTGCATGTGCAATTCTTTTTTGTTTTTTGTTTTTGTTTTTGTTTTTCCAGACAGGGTTTCTCTGTGTAGCTTTGTGCTTTTCCTGGAACTCACTCTGTAGATCAGGCTGGCCTCGAACTCAGAGATCTGCCTGCCTCTGCCTCCCAAGTGCTGGGATTAAAGGCTGTGCACCACCACCGCCCAGCTGCATGTGTAATTCTTCCTGCCTGGAGTTTCTGCCATCAATACCTGAGACTCTCATCCCTTAAATCCACGTTGAAGATGATCTCTTATAAAATCTGACTTCCACAGGGAGAAGACTTGGAATGTTCTACTCTTCTACCTACATTATTACATACACCCAAATGAAGGAATCACTTCATGTTTTGAACAAGCCTAGAAAACTATATGCTTATTACATGAGAAAATCGTTGAGGTCAAAGACTGTTTCTCTTTGATCTTTAGACAACCAGTATTTAGAGCCTAATATGTGGCAAGTTCCCAAATATTCGAAGAAAATGCACTATAGTACAGTGATCCGTGTTTCCAGATATATGTTGCCTTTAAACCTCAATATACTGAAATTCTGACCTTGAACCTAATAAAAACTATTTTACCAATCATAAGGAAAATATTACATTCTGTCAACACACATACTGTTCTAAACATGATCAATCAATCACATACACTATTACTGTAAGTGAAACATTAAAATATGAAGCATTCTGTTTTCCATTTACAGCTTCCTATCATCTTCTCATGAAAGCAAACTGTATTTTTCAACACTTTTCACTTTAGGATCACCAAGATGGCGCGGCAGGCGGAAGCACGTGTGTATAAGCCTAACAACAGTCTCCATTTGATCCCTGGAAACCATGCAAAGGTGGGTGAAGAGCACTGACTCTGCAACCTTGTCCTCTGGTTTCCACATACCTGTACACAGCTCAGACACACCCAGACACAGACACACACCCCCGACACGCACAATAATTTATTTGTTAAAAATATTTATTATGTATATAGTGTTCTGTCTGCATGTATGTCTGCAGGCCAGAAGAGGGCACCAGATCTCATCACAGATGATTGTGAGTCACCATGTGGTTGCTGGGAACTGAACTCAGGACTCCTGGAGGAGCAGCCAGTGCTCTTAAGCTCTGCGAAATCTCTCCAGCTCATAATTTAATTTTTTAAGTCCTCACTTTATTACTTTCTAGCTATCTGTCAAAATTATAACATCTTCAGAAAAAGGCTATATATTATTAGTAATTCCTCACCATTTACATTTCATCTATCTCTTCAGGATTTTTTATCTCCTTTTCATGTCTGCAAGCCACTACTAATAGTATTTTTCACATCTAAAACAAAATCTTTATGCTGACAACCAAACCACACAGTATATTTACATGTTCAAGTACAAATCAGTTGTTCTCTGGATTGAGCAAAATAGGTAAGTCTGAGACCTCATCTCTATATTTCATATTAAACTTGCTATTTGAATATTCATTAACTTTGATTAATGTTAATGCTGGATTGTCTCTATGTGAATTCTTAATTTAGCATAATTTCGGCTCCATTACATAATTTATTAGAATATCATTATATATGTGATTGCCACAGACTAAATCAGTGTTTTGGAACACATGACTATACTGTGCTTTAAACTATTCTTCTAAATTCCTGTTGCTTAATGATGTCATTCACAACACAAAGCCATTATTCCTGTCTCTGATGTTGCTGATGCAAACAAACATGCCACATGACAAATTATGTAAAAATTTGTACAATTACATACAGCACATAAAACTTGATAATGAAAATGACTACTAATGATGTATGTGTTTACTATACTTTATGCTGTTATTTTATAGTCCTTGTAGCTATAAGAGAACTTTACAACCTGGCATGGTGGTGCACATCTTTAATCCCAACACTTAGGAGGCAGAAGCAGGTAGGTCTCTGAGTTGGGAGGCCAACTTGGTCCACATGGTGAGTTCCAGGGCAGCCAGGACTATAAATTGAGAATTTGTCTTTCAAAGTAAAGGAAGGAAGGTAGTAGGTAGGTTGGTTCCCTGTACATGCTATAGATAATATTATACTATTAGCCACATGCCCAGTGCGAAGTTTACTCTTAGAAATGTTTACTGTCCATGTTATGATGGCAGCAGCTCCATCAACTGAATGTTTAACCACACTTAAGGGAAGTCCCATGCCCATCAGTAGACGGCCAACACAAAACAAATTCAATTCACTGATAAGGTATTTTTGGAGTCATTTTTTTTTCTTCTTCTTCTTTTTTTGGTCTTAACTATGTTTTGTCTGGACTTAAAAAACAAACAAAAACCTAACAGGTCTTTTCATTATATATCATGGTTGCCAATTTCATGTCTGAATGGATTTCTGTGAATGTGTACCTCCGCATCTATATTTGTTTCTTGTGCTGTTTCTTTGGCTCCCTTTTGTTCTTCCTGTCCTTTGTTTTGTCTTATTCAAGTTATTTTTACTTTATCTTAGAGAGATAACTTGCACACACACAAAAGCTTATAGATCAGCGGTTCTCACCGGTGGGTCACAACCCCTTTGGGGGTCAAATGACCCTTTCACAGGGGTTGCATCAGATATCCTGCTTAAAAGGTATTTACATTACAATTCATAACAGTAGCAAAATTAGTTACGAAATAGCAACAAAAATAATTTTATGGGGTCACCACAACACGAGTAACTGTACTAAAGGGTCGCAGCATTAGGAAGGCTGAGAACCACTGTTATAGACAAAAGCCCACACAGTACTAGTATTTCCTTACAAGCAAAAAGTAGAAACCCAAATGTCCAACTACTAACTGTGATAGATCCAAAGACAGGAACAGACATGGGATACATGCCAATAATCCTACCATGTGAGAGAGTGAAATGAAAAGTCTGTCTGAGGCCAGCCTGGGCTACACAGTGGATTCCAGGCCACACTGTTCTACATTTCTTTCTTTTTTTTCTTTTTTTTCTTTTTTTGGTTTTTCGAGACAGGGTTTCTGCGTGTAGCTTTGTGCCTTTCCTGGAACTCACTCTGTAGCCCAGGCTGGCCTCGAACTCACAGAGATCCTCCTGGCTCTGCCTCCCGAGTGCTGGGATTAAAGGTGTGCGCCACCACCGCCCAGCCTGTTCTACATTTCAAGACCCCATCTTCAAAAGAAAAGAGAAAGAGTATTCTACACAGCACAATATTATTCAGCACTAAGAAGGAATCAAGTTACAGCATAAACTTGGTAAACATTACGCTAAGTCAAAGAAATAAAAGGTATAAAGAAATGAAAGGCATAAAAGGCCACATATTTATCTTAACAAAATGTCCATAATAATAATAACGAAAGGACTATTAGCTTCTAGGAGCCAGAAAAGAAGAAAACAGAGAATGCCTGCCAATGTCATGTTTTTGAAACCATGAAAATACCTAGAATTAGAAGTGATAGCTGAACAATCTTGCAAACATGCTAGACAATGACAAACTATCTTTTCAGGTCTACAGCCTCAAACTATCTTCTTGGTGCTGCTATGAATAATGAAGAGGGTCTAAATTTATAGTCGATAATTTGAATCAAATTCCAACTTTTTTTAACCTACTATGTACATAGGAAAATCACCATGATTTCATTATAAATAGCAACATTACATATTCTAGCAGGTGATTTCAAGCATCAAAACTAACACATTGCTCAAGAAAGCATTTTGTTAATTATAAGGTAACTTTTTTAAAATGTAACCTTTTAACTTGCATTCCAAACATTATTATATTCTATTATATAGTCTAATCCCTTTAGCACCAATCCTGTTATTATCATTTCGGGGGGGGGGGGGGCCTCTTCCAATATCATGAAATTGTGGTAGATTGAACAAATCACAAGAATCCAGTGGTTCTTCAAGCAAAGCATCATTTAACACTCCCATATAGCCAGGCACTGGTGGCTTACGCCTTCAATCCTGGCTCAGGTGTCAGAAGCAGATGATTTCAGTGACTTTGAGGCTAGCCAGGAGTACACAGTAAGAACCCGTCTCAACAAAACAAAACAAAACAAAACAAAACAAAACGGTCCGACTATTTCGGCAACTTCACTGCTCCTTGAAGCAACGGTGACCTCCAACTCTAAAGTCATACAATAAGGGAAAATAACAGTATAATCCTCAAAGACTGTATTTATCAAGGCTGAAAGAAATTAGAAACCTCAGCGCGCACTTTGTGATCCATCTTCTCCCTTTCACCATTATTTCTTCCATTTTACTATGTATCCCAAAGTGCCTGCCATCTAAACCCTTCAAGATAGCCTTTCTCTGCTCAACTGATTTGTATGAGGAGTGGACTAGTCTTACTTGTGATCTAAAAGAAGAGTTAGCAAAGGTGAGACCCCATTTGGGTTCTGGGTCTCTTCTAGGCCCCAAATTCATATCATAAGCATATTATTTGATTGAGGTTTTGCCTCTAGCAAGTGATAAAAAGTGTGAAGAACTAGCACATAAACAAAGCTGGTATTGGTCCATTACTATACTTGTTTAGATAGATTTTAATGCAGAGTATTCAGCTTCTTCTAACTTTATTTATTTATTTATTTATTTATTTATTTATTTATTTGGTTTTTCGAGACAGGGTTTCTCTGTGTAGCTTTGCACCTTTTCCTGGAACTCACTTGGTAGCCCAGGCTGGCCTCGAACTCACAGAGATCCGCCTGGCTCTGCCTCCCGAGTGCTGGGATTAAAGGCGTGCGCCACCACCGCCCGGCTTCTTCTAACTTTAAAACATGGAGGAATACTAGTTTCAGCACAGTAACTTTAAACTTTACATATGTACCCTTTACTCTTCAGAAGGTTCAAGGAAATCACTGGTCCTGAAACTGAACACAATCTGAAATACGTCTCTTTTCCAATGAGTATGACATTTTCAACGATTCGCTTAACTTCAATACAAACCTGTATAGGTGGAATGTCTGGCAACGATGGAAGGTTTTCTGGGTTGGTGACGGAGGGAATTAGTTCTATTGCTGTAACAGATGGACTGGTGGGACCTCGATTTGCATTTGCCATAGTTGCTGTGGTAGGGCTTGTTGGGTTGATTGGGTTGTGTGCTGATACAACAGGAAAGGGTCCAGCGTGCCCTGGGTTTGAGTGCTGTTTAAGAAAGAAGGTATTATTATTATGTGTTCTGCTCCCACCTCTGAACCATACCTTAGAACAGCTCTAACTATCGTTAGTATCTGCAGCTGACAAAGAAGTGGGGCCTCTCAAACTTATGCAAGAGAACAGTTTGAACTAGTCTTTCCATTTTTCATTCATTTTTATGTACTATCTGAGGTAGAATGGATTTGAAAATAACTGTCAACCTGTTAGCCTACTGTTATGATCTTCAGAACAAAGATACTACATAAAGATGATGTAGAAGTTGCCAAGTTTGCCAACAGTAGGCCACAGAAGGCAACGGTTCTGAAGATGCTCTTCTTTGATCCTTTAGTCTACTATCTAATGAAAACAACTACAAAACTTAGCAATATGGTAGAAAGAATGATGAGCTGCAGAAAGAAACTATGACATTCATTCCCGGCTCCAACACTATGAAGTCTTAAGAGCCGCAGTCTCAGTAATTGTGATACATGGATAAATGATCCACTAATGGTTTTATTAAAAGGACTGTTACAAGGTTTATTTAAGGTCATACATGTGCCTGTCTTTGGGAAGTAAGTAACTACACATACAATTAAGTCATTTAAATATTTAAAAACTAAAAATACTGACAGTGAATTTTTAAGGGAAAGCTCTAAAACCTAATAGCTAGTTAGTCTGACTCTTTGTACTCTTTCAAATGCTAAACCTTGGTACTCACAATACTTGAAAGCACCCCAAGAACTAAGGAGTACATGGGTATCTCAATAGTTACAAGGAAAACAGTACCCTCAGTCTTCCTAGGTATTATTTTAAAAACATAGCTGCCTAAGACTGTGTCATGCATGGTCTTTTCACAATTGTCCTTCTCTCACTTGACAAAGTAATGGCATCCTGCCAACTAATGTGGGAAAAAACTAAAACCAAATAGTAAAGACAAACAAAGGCACAATTGAAAGAGGACTTGGGTATTAAAGGGGCTATACTGCAGACCAACAATGGAGAGCCAATAAACTGGACTAATGAAACTGAACTGTCAAGAGAGCTGTTAGAAAATGTTCAAAAAAGTGAGAAATATTTCTAGAGTAAAATTTCTACTCTCTAATTACACAATTATTTAAACAAGTTTCTTGAGCATTACATAAAAACAACACTCACAATAAAAATCAATTGCTCTTATTCTAACAATAAATAACAGTAAAAAACATATAGCTGAAAAGGAGATAAAAAGACTACACTTAATTTGAGAAATACATTAAAGAATTTTATATCATTTGATTATTTATTTTAGATCCATTTGTTCATGTGTATGAATGTCTGCATGTACATGTGCACCACATATGTGCAGTGCCCAAGAGGTCAGCAGAGGGCATCAAATACCTTGGAAAAAGAGTTACAGTTTGAGCAGCCATGTGGGTACTGGGAACTCAAACCAGGTCCTCTGCAAGAGGAGAAGTGCCCTATCTGCTGACCCATCTCTCCAGCCTCGTCTGCTTAGTCTTACACCACAGAAACATACTGCTTCCGTAACTGTCGACAAGTAATACAATGATCACTTCTCAACACAAAGGTTTGAAACCTTAGTAAGAGCCTTTGTTATCATACAATTTAACCAACAATTTTTGTTAAAATATCTTTTTCTGCAGAAAATTACAAAAGTCTAACTTTTGTTTGTCAGATACAAAGATACAATTTTGTAGAAGTAGTAAAGGTGAAATTCAAGTCCAAGGAGAATAGTCTGGGAATTTTTCAATTTTCTTTTTTCCCTAAACATTTACTTATTTTTATGAATATGAGTATTTTCCCAGCATGTACGCCTGTGCACCACATGCATTGTGCCACAGAGGTCAGAAGTTACAGGTACCCTGAACCTAGAGTTGCAGATGGTTGTGAGCCATCAAGTGGACACTAGGAATCAAATCTAGAAGGGCAGTCAGGGCTCTAACCACTGAGCCATCTCACCAGCCCCCCTTTCTCATTGTGTGTGTGTGTGTGTGTGTGTGTGTGTGTGTGTGTGTGTGTGTATGTTTTACAGGTATCTGTAAGTTACCATGTTAGTACTAGGAACTAAATTACAGTCCTCTGCAAGAGGAGCAGTAAGTGCTCAGAGCCCGAGTCATCTACAAACTCCCAATCTCCAAAACGGTTATAGCTCAGGGAGGGCCTCTGCAGCATGTTTCTTTCATTTTTAGACAAGATCTCTATAGACCAGCCTGACTTCCAACTCCAGCTATTTCTACTCTATCTCTTGAGTCCTAAGATTACAGGGGTGCACTACCATACTCAGCCCAAAGCATGTCCATGTTTTGAGAAAGCACTCATTGAGTTTAAAAAAAAAAAAAAAAAAAAGAATACTGTTTTTAACTTGAAATACTGTTTAAAAACACTTCATTTTATAATCGTAACTCATGAATAGTTCATACTGTGTTTATGTAATTACATAATTTATTTAAAGATTATAAATTTGCCTCTAAATAACTTTTTCTATTTTATTTCTTTTTAAATTTCATTTACTTACTTACTTATTTGTTTATTTATTTGTGTGCCTGTGTGTTGCCTCTATGAGTTTCTGTATAACGTGTGTTCAGTGATCTCAAGAGCCAGAAGGTGGTGTTAGACCTCCTGGAACTGGAGTTACAGATGGTTTTGAGCTGCCAGGTGAGTCCTAAGAACCAAACATAGGCTGTCTATAAGAGTAGAGTGCCTCTAACCACTGTGCCATTTCTTCATCCCTATCTAAGATAGTAGGCCTTTTGAGACAAGGTCTAATGTAGCCTAGGCTGGCCTTGAATTCTCCATGAAGCCAGGGGTAACCTTGAACTTCTGATCCTTCTACCTCTACCTCTCTAGCGTTGGGATTACAGTTATAGCGACTAAACCTGGCTTAATTTACTATATTATTGTTATCTTAGAGATTCTTGGCAGTAAAACAATCAAGCCCAGGGCTTCAAGAATTCTAAAACTGAGCTACACCCTAACCCGCACTAATTTTTAAGATTAAGCATATCTATACTCCATAGAAAAGAAAAAATATATAAACACATACATACATACAGCTAGCCCTATTACTTAAAATTTTCTTTATGTTATCAGTATCAAAATGTCATATTAAAAAGCACAATAAAAATATCAGAAAATTAAAGTTCTAACTTTGATTTTCAGAATTATCATTTGTAAGTTAAAGTAAATCAAAAGTTCGTTTTTCACTCTGTAGGTAATGGGTTTAGTTACACAAGAGTATCTTAATCCATAGTATGTGATAAGCTTAAAGAGACACATTTTCATGTGTATGTATTTTTTCTGGGACAAGCAGATATACAACAAATTGTCAGAAGTATCAAAGACTCACACCAACAACTAATTATGAAAAAGGATGTCTTTTAGTTTGAAAATTGCATGACTCTTACAAATGTAACTCTAGGCATACTTGTCTTTGGAGGTGGGGCTGCATCATGGAGTACTGAGGGCCGCTGTGCCTGGGGATCCCCGGTATTCTGGCAGCATTCTGAGCCAGTCTCATCTGATGGGCCTGAAATGCTCCACAGTTCATGTTGCCTCTTTGCATTGTTTGCACACTGATCAGTCTTGGAGGCTATAAAAAGTAGAAATGGAATTCATATTTTTCCCCTTGTTTTTTTTTTCCCCCTCGAGACAGGGTTTCTCTGTGTAGCTCTGGCTGTCCTGGAACTCACTCTGTAGACCAGGCTGGCCTTGAACTCAGAGATCAGCCTACCTCTACCTCCCAGGTACTAGGATAAAAGCCGTACAACACCACATCCAGCACAAGTATTTCTACAAATTTATTTTTCAAACATAAAATGTTGAAGTAAAAGTAATTCAATTAGAACAGAATAGTATAAAGCAAATAGAATAAGCCGTATTCCCTTTTATGACCCCAATATTTATCGGACTGGTAACTACTATAAAAAGTTGGTCACTCCAAAATTTCTCTATCTACCCTTTCTGGGAGAGAGAGAGGGAGGGAGGGGGTAGGGATGGTAAACATTAATTCATCTCATCATGGAGTTAACACTACTGATTGTAAAGTAGTACATAAACAAAAGACCAAAGAATAATTTGAGCAAATGCCTAAAGAATGCAACAGATCTTAGAAACAATCTGGTTCTTTGGCTCACAATTTTATGTGTCTGTGTGTGCACTCATGGGTGTTTGGGGGTGGGAGATACAATATGGAGGGGTAAAAAGTCACTGCTTCCCATGCTCTTACTTAACACCTATATTCTTCAAACTTTCACCACATCTGGTCTTTGAACTCCATCTAGTAACTCTGCATGTGTAATTAATATATACAGAATGAAGGAAGCGGAGTCTGAAGATCTCTAATTTTTACCACTGATGGAGAGACACAATGCTTACCTGTTGCTGTAACATCTGGGGGGCTGTTTGCCTAGGATGCTGCTGCGTTGTTGTTGTTGTTGTTGGTACAGGAGCTGGAGGTTGCTGCATTCTCATCTGTTGTAACTGCTGATGTTTTTGTGCATACACTTGTTGCTGCATGTGCTGCAGTCGAAGCTGTGCTAAGTTAATCTGTCCAGGGGTTTTACTAATGTGGTTTGTACCTGGAGGAACTTGCCCAACTACAACATTAGGAGTATAACCAGGAGCTGGCTTACTCTCTATTACTAGATTACCTGAGGGTTTAAAAAAATAAGAAGGATTTACAAATAATCAACTAAATTGCCCACTTTAAAGATGAATCATTATCTTTTCCTCCTCCTGACAATTAGCATCTCAGAGCATCCAACAGCAAAGCACAGATGAGCGCTAGGTCTAAAGATAGTAATTATAAACTAAATAGATTCCAAAGCCCCTTGAACCCTCCCCTAAATAAGCTCATTATTCAAAACACACTATCTGTTCTTATACATGTGTTGGTGTGATGTATATGTGTGCATGTGCGTTTTTTGTGTGTGGATGGCTGTGGGCATGCACAACAGTGCACATGTGGAGGTCAGAGAACAACCTTTGGATGTCAGTCTTCACCTTTCCAGCTAGTTTGAGGCACGGTGTCTTTGTTGCTGCATAACCCAGGCTAGCTGGCTGGAGACTGAAAGAGACATTATTAGAGGAAGGATCCAGTCAGTCTGAATCAATTCTTCCATGACAAAGACTCCAGGATACTCATGATAGTTGCTATACTGATTCTGCTTTCTTTTTTTTTTGAATGTGTATGAGTGTTTTGACTGCACATATATCTGTGCACCAACACTGTATGCCTGGGTGTCTGAAGAGATCAGAAGAAGACATCAGATTCCTTGGAACTGGAGTTACAGACAACTGTGAGCTGCCATGTGGTGCTGGGAATCCAATCTGTATCCTCCCAGAGTGGCTAGGCTTTAACCACTGAGCCATCTCTCCATCTTCCTATCAGCTCTCCAATTGCCAATGGTATGAGTAAAATCATTTTCCATGGAAATTCAGAATGCTTTACACCATTTATTCCTTTAAACTGGTCATTTCCCTCCCTTTTTATACAGTTGTTGCTTGCTGAGAATAAAAGGTACGTTCTAAAAAGGCACGATTTAAGGTAGATATTGGCAGACTACAAAAAAAAAAAATCTGTTTTTTTTTTTTTTTTTTTTTTTTTCTTTTTTGAGACAGGGTTTCTCTGTATAGTTTTGGTGCCTGTCCTGGAACTCACACTGTTGCCCAGGCTGGCCTCGAACTCACAGAGATCTGCCTGGCTCTGCCTCCCGAGTGCTGGGATTAAAGGCGTGCGCCACCACCGCCCAGCTCAAAAAAAAATCTGTTACACTCAATGATTTTTTTTAACTTTTTGAAAATGAAGAAGAAGAACAACAACAACAAAACACACACACATACTTACTCACTCACTCACTCATTCTTGATGAGTAAGCCAAACAATAGTGATTTTCTGGTGCTGCAAAGGTCAAAATTGAGTGTCTTCTTTCTTTCATTTACCCAAGGAATGCCTTATTTTAAATGGTGCAATTCAAATCTCAAGGACATGACTATTTTGATCAAAGGTGTGCACCACCACCACCACCACCACCACCACCTGGCCCTGATATGATTATTTTGAAAGTGAAGATATTCCAATGGATGACGGGTTTTATCTGAATAATTTTGTTCCATTTCATTTCATGTTAAGAGACAGGATCTTACTATGTCACCTACACTGGCCTCAAACTCCTCCTGACTCAGTCTCCTTAGTAGCTAAAATGACAATATGAACCACTTGCTTGGCTTTTTAGTTCTCAAGTTTTTTGTTTGTTTTTTGTTTTTATTGTCTATCCAAACACCTTTCACCCATGGTCTTTAGGTCAACAATGTGGAGCAATAAAAGCATACTTTCTTTCTTTATCAAGTGAAGAGTTCCTTTTGTCTAATACTCCTTGGGACATGACTCTAGAACATTTCAGTGTTCTCAAGCTCCTCCTCCACTGCACCACCTGACATGAACTACTAAACATCTAAACATTACGCAGACAGTCATCATTTCTATATAAAAAAATCAATGTTAATTTTGAAAATGAAAGGCTACAAATGAACCACACTCTACAAGGACTGAAGAGCAGAGAGCATGCTCAGCGTGCCAGAGAACAGGGTTCAACACCAGCACCAAAAGCAAAAAACAGCCTACAACTAAAGAGTTTCCAACATAGCACATTTCTTACGTTACTCACATTTTAAAGTTAAAAATTTTATCTAGAATTTGCTTAAATGGTTTCTCTTCGCAAATTAATAGTCCAAATCATATCCTTGAAAAGATTTCTCACCTAAATTCACTACATTTTTAGCCCAGAAGGTGGGATCACAATGGAAACGGATTGCTCCATTGGCAGCAGGAACAGGATCACATCGTGCTTTCAAAATATGACGTAACTGAAAAGTAATCTTCAAGGGAAAAAAAAAATCACATCAGTCTTAAAATTAAATGCAGTTCAGATTAACCTTGAACTCACAATTCTCTTGCCTCAATTTCCCAAGTGTTGACTGGAATTATAATTATATGCCACCAAGCTTAGCTACTCTGTATCTTTATCTACAGAGGGTTACAGTAGCCAGAATGCTTACTTAGCCTTTAACCAGCCTTTATATTACAATAGAAACAACATCCCATGCTCGTGAACAATAGGTCCCTTAGGTAAAGTGGATAGCATGTGTCTCACCAGCCGCTTGCTATACAGTAGTGCCGTGCTGCTGCCACTTGCAATGGCCCAGTTTGTAAAGTTCATGACGTGCTTCACCTGCCGGGAAAGGCCTGTGATGTCATTCTGCTGCTGCAGTAGCTTCATCTGTCTTTCTTTCGTAACATTCTGAAAGAGAACAACAGTGTCACTGGAGAATTTAAAAAGTCACATACACAAATGCCTCTATTTCCTTCAAACAATGGTACAAGGGAAGCTTGTAAGTATTTCACGAGTCTATGAACAATCTGAAGGAAGTAACTAACTAAAGTGGAACTAGACATTCCGGTTCTAAGATAATCCACTCCATTCAGGACATCAGCAGTAGTTTATGGCTTTTCTTTCATCAAATAATAACTGTTCAAAATAGTGTCTTCTTGCTTTTAGGTTAATCCAATACAATATAAGCTGATCTTGAAGAATCATTTTATATAATCTTAACTAACTATACTTTCTGGGTTAAAGAAAATACTGAGTTACTAGTGCCACCTACTGGTACAGTTTGAGGACAAGGTTAAAATTTCTCAAACAAAAGGGAAAAATGATAAACTTTAGAGATTAGGCAAACTGGTATAACGAAAATTAGGCAAATCGGTATAACCAAGTACACAAAGAAAAACCAGTTTCAGGAACATGCTGCAAGGAAGAACAAACTTCTCATAAGAGACCACTACCCAAAAAAGGGTGGGCAATGTCCTATATATCTTGCCAAAAATAATCTATCTACTTCTTCCTTAACCATTTTCTTCCCCCCAAAATATTCAACTTCATTTACTCAAGAGTATTTTTCAAAAGGGAACAAGTTCATTTATAATATAAATAAATGGACAAGTGTTCGACAGTCAGAATATTGATCTTACTAGAAATCATCAATTCTGCCAGACAGTGTTGGCGCACACCTCTAATCGAGTACTGAGGAGACAGAGACAGGCAGATCTCTGTGGGCTGGAGGCCAGCCTAGTCTATAGAGTGAGTTCCAGGATAGCCATAGCTACAAAGAGAAACCCTGGCTCCAAAATACCAAAACCAAACACCACCCTCCCCCAAAAGAAAGAAAAAAAGAATTCCTTAACAAAGCGTAGGGAGACCTCTCTTTTACAGTTTAGGAAAGTATTAATACAAGAAATAGCTATTTTAAAAATTATTAATGTGTTAAGAGCATATAAAATATTTATCAGAAACATTTTTATATACACTTTAGTATTAACAAGCATTTTAAAATTCTGAAGCTCCTGAAATAGATTTACAATGACCACTCTTAGATGTATGGATATAAAATGGATCAAAAGTAGTTACTACTGACTGCTCTGGAGTCTAATGGTTGTTCTAAAGGAAAAAAAGTCTACTAGGGTTAAAACTCACTGACTACAAGAACAATAGGAATGAGACTCCAACATCAATGAGATGTTCAAGACTTTTAATATCACTACTACTTTTCAATGTAAAATGTATTTAAAAGATAATTCATATATTTTGCTCACAAGACTTCTTTTACATATTGCCACCTGTCTCATATTTTTAAAGGGTTCTATGGATAAATGAAATAGAAACAACCCTCTAAAGATGATCTAATGCTTATACTTTAAAAACCTCAACTTGTATAAAATTCACATTTGGCCACGCAGTGATGGCACATGCCTTTAATTCTAGCACTTGGGAGACAGAGGCAGGTGGATTACTTTGAGTTCAAGACCAGCCTGGTCTATAGAGTGCATTCTAGGTCAGCCAGGACCACACAGAGAAACCCAGCCTAAAGAAAGAAAGAAAGAGAAGGAAGGAAGGAAGGAAGGAAGGAAGGAAGGGAGGGAGGGAGGGAGGGAGGGAGGGAGGGAGGGGGAGGAGAGAGAGAGAGAGAGAGAGAGAGAGAGAGAGAGAGAGAGAGAAGAAAGAAAGAAAGAAAGAAAGAAAGAAAGAAAGAAAGAAAGAAAGAAAGAAAGAAAGAAAAATTAAAGGTCGCATTTGAAATTTTCTGAAAACACATTAACTTTGGGCAGTAAAAATTTAGATTAAAACTTAATTTGGGGACAGACAGTAGTGGCACGTGCCTTTAATCCCAGTACTTGGGAGGCAGAGGCAGGTAGATCTCTCTTGAGTTCCAGGCCAGCCTAGACTATAAAGCAAGTTCCAGGTCAGCTAGGGCTACACAGAGAAGCTCTGTCTTGAAAAACCAAAGCACAAAAAACTTCATTTGGATTTCAAAACAGAACAAGATTCTCAGAAATTTTATAACTACATATTAATCTCAAAATATGAAACACAGAGACCTAATACTATAAAATTAGTAATTATGGGGCTGGAGAGATGGCTCAGCGGTTAAGAGCACTGGCTGCTCTTCCAGAGGTCCTGAGTTCAATTCCCAGCAACCACATGGTGGCTCACAACCATCTGTAATGAGATCTGGTGCCCTCTTCTGGTGTGCAGGAATAAATGCAGACAGAACACTATACATAATAATTAAATTTTTAAAAATTAAAAAAAAAACTTAGTAATTACTTTCAAGGTTTATATATTTCAAAATGGGGAACATTTTTGGCAAATTATAGAAATATATAAATGGCTCAAACAGAAGCCCAACTTTATTTATATAAAGAAGGTAAAGTGAGGCCTCTTGCCAGAAAGGAAGAAAAGAAATTCAAAGGGCTTGTTTTGTCTCCATTTATATCATGCTTTATTAATAATTCTTTCCTAAGACAGTATCACTATTACCTAGATATATGGCTTTTTAAAAAGAGAAAAAAAATGTTTTATGTCAGGCATGGCGGTACATGCCTTCAATCCCAGCACTCAGGAGACAAGAGACAGGCTCTATATAGATTCAAGACTAACATGGTGATTTCCAAATAGGCCAAAAAACAAAAACAAAAGTCAAAGTGTTAATAAAATTAACTACAAAGTAACTAAACATAACAGGCTTTCTTTCCTAGTAGTACCAATCCTGAATCCTCAGGAAAATGCTACAAGGAAGAATATGCCCCAACCCACTTAAAAGAGCTTTCAATAAACAGAGAGAACAGCTGAAGAGCAAGAGAAGCAGGTTTTGTTTTATTTTGGCTTTAACCATACCTCTAGCTGCTGTAAGAGAGATTTTCCTTTCTTATTAATTTCATTGATAAGGGTGAAAATGGCCACTTTAATTTCCTGTTCTACTCGTTTGTTAGTCTCATTCACTTCTTTAATCCTGAATAAGAGAAATGCATCATTAGGTTATCAGCTCAACCTGTGTCTGATTCATCCAACTAGGCACTTTTCCAAGTAAGTAAGTAAAGGTAAGTATTTGTCAAAATGTACAACTTATGTTGCACCAGACCTAGCCACTTAATTAGATCCACAGTAGTCATACAAAGAATGAATTCTATTTAGTAATTTAAATTAAGCTCACAAAGACCACTTTATTCATCTGTAGAACACTATCACATTACTATGGCATGAATGTGATACACAAATGTCTAACACTATTGGCTGTCAATCAAATTTACTACATATATATTGTCTAATCCTTTTTTTAAAATTCCACTTAAGATGCTTTCTGCAAACAAAATACAAAACAATATCAAAATGAATAGTTACAACCTTTTGAAAGAGCAGGAATTTAAAAGTATCCAGTTTCATTTCAAACTTTATCACTTCAAATGTGGGTTCTAATTAAGATTGTTTCATAATTTCCTCTCAAATTGGCTTTGCACTATAGATAGTTAAAAAAATTAAAAAAAACCCACAACATATATTAAATCATTGGGGGTAGGAAGCACGCCTGTTAGCGGTGACCCAGGGCATCTTTTTTGCTAAGAATGTGTTTATCCCCAAAGATTATGAAGCAATCCATTTTTTAAAAATACCTCTTACATTATTTCATAAATAAATATATCCACTTATAATTACATTTATTAAAATTCTAGTTACAAGTATAAAGTGCTAGACTGCTTTCATATTTATAAACTGAGAAGCAAGCAATCTCATTAATATAAGTAAAATGTCAACACTCAATCATAATATCTAGTCTTTATCTTTCATGTATTCTACTTTTGTACACTGTCTTTCATTAGTCAAATATATACACAATTTTAACACACTCTCAGCAATATAATGCAATTTTTCCTCCTTTGCCTGTATATGACTGCTTGATTACTTATTTGCAAATTTTATTGAATTCTGTCCTTATTAAAGTAAATGGGAAAAAAGTAAATAAAATATAAAGTTACTGCCAGGTGGTCATGGCACATGCCTTTAATGCCAGCACTTGGGAGACAGAGGCAGACAGATCTTTGTGAGTTTGAGGCCAGCCTGGTCTACAGAGTGAGTTCCAGGACAGCCAAGACTGTTACACAGAGAAACCCTGTCTTGAAACCTGCCCTTCAAAGCCCCTGCAAATTCTTTTTACACACACACACACACACACACACACACACACACACACAGACACACACACACACACACACACACACACAGACACACACACAGACACACACATACTATGGGTAATATAATATACAGACCTCCAACATAAAACAACTAAACCAAAAAACAGAAGTCAGGAAGCACAATGGAAGCAGAGAATAGTTTCAGAGAGACTTACTGTACTTAAAAACATGTCCATTAAAAACTAATGGGGGAGGTGGGAGGTGGAGAGATGGTTCAGAGGTTAGGAGCTTTTTCAGAGGATCCAGGTTTGATTTCCAGAACCCATGTGGGCAACTCACAACCATTTGTAACACTAGTTTCAGGGGACCTAACACCTTCAGACATCTTCAAGCACCAGGCATGCAGTGTTACAGATATACACACACACAAATCACCCATACATATGAAACAAATTTTTAAAATAATGGCCAGGCAGTGGTGGCGCTCACCTTTAATTCCAGCTTCCGGGAGGCAGAGCCAGGCGGCTCTCTGAGTTTGAGGCCAGCCTGGTCTACAGAGCAAGATCCAGGACAGGCACCAAAACTACATGGAGAAACCTTGTCTTGAAAAACCCAAAATAAATAAATGAATGAATGAATGAATCGATAGATGGTGGGTGGGTGGGTGAATGAATGAATGAATGAATGAATAAAGTGGGCTGGAGACGGCTCTACGGTTAAAAGCACTTGCTATTCTTACAGAGGACCTAGGTTCATTTCCAGTACCCATACCAGGAAGTTCATAACCATCTATAATTCTAGTTCCAGAATTCCAATCCCTTCTTCTGGCCTCTGTGAGCACACACTGGTGCATGTACAGATAAGCAAGCAAATATACATATACATTTTTATTTAAGTTTTTTTAATAGAAAATATTGAATAAAAATTTTAAATACTGGGGAGGGGAATTGTGGAGAGAAAACTGATTAACAGAACTTGCTGCAGAGTTAAAGAATGAAGTTCAGACCCCAGCACCCACACAACAAGCCAGACTCATGCATTCTGGGTACCAATCCCAGATCCACTGGAAGGGCAGTAAGTATTCAACTGCTGAGCCATCTTTCCAGTCTTGCCTTTTATTTTCTTTTGGTCTCACTAAAGATGAAAAGTTCCGTCATACACAAACCACTATTTTTATTTATTCAAATATTTAATACTTTGTACATCTTACTATGTGCCATTTTACCATCACAAACTAATGGTTTTAATATTGAAGGCAAAGTTTCAGTATCATCGAGTCTACACAATTAACTACAATTTAACCCTATGCATCACTTTCAGGAATTTCCAGGTTTAAAGGGTTCCAGTTCCAAGTATGTGTTTTTTTCCAGTAAAAAGAGTCCTAACTTTATTAATTTGCCCTTTTTAGAGCTTACTACCACTTACCCTATACATAATCTACTTTGTTAATAAATATACCTAAACCAGTCCTGCAGACCCAAAGCTGCAGGATCTCCACGACACAGGGCAACAACAGGGTATCCAAGAGGAGTCCCAGTGAGGGCCCAGCATTGATGGTGCAGCAGAAACCAGAGGCCTCAACCAGACCAATGACTCTGCAGTGAACACTCGCAAGTAAAGATATATGGATAAACAGGTTTACTGTGTGACTCACTGGGTCACACTACAGCTTCCATGACAAGATTGATTTTTCCCTCTTTTTTCTTTTTCTTTTAAAAGATTTATTTATTCATGTATTTTACATATATACCAGAAAGGGATCAGATCTCATTACAGATGGTTGTGAGCCACCATGTGGTTGCCAGGAACTGAACTCAGGACCTCTGAAGAGCAGTCAAGTTCTCTTAACCTCTGAGCCATCTCTCCAGGCCCTGTGTTTTTTTTTTTTTTCTTTTAAATTTTATTTTATTTTGGGGGGAAGTTACAAGGGCAGAGGGTGGATACAAAGGGACAGGGAAATGAATGGGATCAAGATGCATGATGTGAAAAACACAAAGAAACAATAAAAAGTTTAAAAAATTTTAAATACAAAAAAAATTAAATAAAATACATAAATGTACCTAAATAGAATAATTATAAAATAATGGAGATGATAGTCATGGTAATGATAAAAATAACAGCATCTGGCTGCTTAGGATGCCAAAATCTGTATTACAGATTCACCTTATATTGCTACTAGTAAGCTAAGTAGTTTTGAATAACTGTTTGATGAGAAAATAAATTTGTTCACTACTGTGGTGGTTTTTTGTTTTGTTTTGTTTTATGTTATGTTTGCATACATACGTGTGGGGTTAAGAGCACAGTGTAGAGACCAGAGAAGATGTTGCATGTTCCTTGAGATGGTCTCTCACTGAGCCTGGAGCTGGTGGGCAGCAAGCCTGAGTCATCCTCCTGTCTCTACCTTTCATTTCTCTGGGCTAATGGTGGGTATACAGCCACACTCAGCTTTCTATGTGAGTGTTGGGCTATTTATCAGGTCCTCAGGCTTACACCTCAACAATTCTTACCCACTAAAGCCTCTGTTTACTATCAATACTTTCTTTGCATCTCCACACAATCTCTACTTTAATTTTGTAATTCAGTTGTCTTCATATTAACTTATTTTTCCAAGTTCAAAGCTCATATACATTGAAGTCTTATTAATTATTAAAAAAATCAATGATATATCCTCAAAATCTTTTTAATGTTGGTAAACTTTAACAAATACATCAAGTGCAAATTTTATCATTTTGTCTATTAAAATTTACGTCTTCTACGAATGTTTAATATAGTAGGAAAATACATTTAATCTAAATGCATTCTTCCTTAACAATCCTTACAGCAAAATTTTTTTTATGCAATAGACTTACCTATTTTGGACTTGTGTAGCTGCAAAGTGAACGTAATTCTTCTTTTCAAGAAGCTTAGCCAACAGATTTTCAATTGCACCTTTCTGATTTTGAAAAGCTTCTTCCAAAAACTGATACCTTAAAACAAACAAAAACTATATTCAAAACAGAAAATTTATAATAACATTTAGGAAATAACAGTTACATGAATCAATCTTAAAAGTAACTATCTGCTGCTGGTCACTTGTATATTACTACAACAGCAACTGTTAATGGAAATCCAATACCATTTCATGTGGAAAAGCCACATGAAAGAAAAATTTCCTCAGAAAACTATGAGTACTCTTACTTATATGAATTTTAATTAAAGGTTCTATATTTTTAATCCAAATATCTGAATAAGGTATACACAATTTAAATCATAAAACACATACTATACAAACACTATCAAAATCACTAGAGTTCCACAAATAATAAAAATCTCACAAACATTATGCATAACCAATGAAACCATGCCCAAATAAATACGATTTTCAGTTTGAGATTCTTATTCAGTTAGTTTGCAACCATTTTGAGAAAACTCTCCATAAAGGGTCAAACACATTAAAATTTGTGTAAGAGTTAATCGATAGCACAAAATGCATATGTTTTACTATAGGAGGGATACTTATATGCTTATAATATGGACTTATAGTCTTGGGAGGCTTAGGCAGGCAGATTGCTCAAACTAGGAAGGAGTCCATGAAGAGGCTAGGAAACAGTGAGATCATGTTTTGTTAATTTATCTTATAACTGAGTGGCGGTGGCACACGCCTCTAATCCCAACATTTGGGAGTTAAAGGCAGCCAGATCTCTGTGAGTTCAAGGCCAGCTTGGTCTACAATGCAAGTTCCAGGACAGTCAGGACTGTTAGACAGTGAAACCCTGTCTAAGAAACAAAGATATTTTGTGTATAACTGCTTTACCTGCATGTATATATATGTACACCATACCCAGGTGATGGCAGAGGTCAAAAGAGAGCATACGATCCCCTGGAACTGGAGTTAAAGACAATAGTGAACAACCATGTGGGTATGAGAGCCCAACCCAGGTCCTTTGAAAAGAACAAGAAAGTGCCTTTAACAGCTGGGCCATCTCCCAGCCCTGAGATCCTGTCTTTAAAAAAAACAAAACCTGGCAGACATGGCAGCACATGTCTCATGGAGCACTGAGGTAGGAGCAGGACTATGAGTTCAGAGACACTGTGACACGGTCTCAAAAACCTACAGTAAATACATCAATACTGAGAACCCATGAATAGCTGACGGTTTTCTTAGGGGCATGGCTCTCTGTAGTAGTACAAAGCTCTGGTGGACAGCCCCACTCACGTACATGAACAGCATAAACTGGAGACAGTGGATGGTCACAAATAAATAAACAGAGAGATAAAATCTTTTAATACATCCTAGTCTGGGCACAAGACCCAGAAACCAGTGTCTTCATTTAACATTTGACCTATTCCTTATGTTCTGCATGCTTGCATAGCAAGCATTCTTACTGAGCTATGTCACCAACCCAATTTTCTTTTAACTAATTAAAATTGTAACAAAAATGAGAAGAACCAATGGACAGGTTAATAATTTTGATTGATATTGAAAGTACTTTTAAAAATAAGACTTGAATCTTAAGTGATTTTTCAAAAGTTAAAGTACACACTTAGAGCACGTCTATGTACCATCATGTGCAAACATGTCACAAGGTGCAGTGCTCGTCAGAGGACTGCTTGCAGACACTTGGTCTCTGTCCACCGTGGGAGTTCTAGGGACTGACTCAGGTCGGCAGGCTTGGCCCAAGCACCATTACTGCTAAGCCGTCTCACAGGCCCCTTAGTGCCTATCAACACGGACTTTAACCTGAAGAGCTATTTTCAGTATATCAAAATGTCTTAAGAAAAAAGTATGTATGTTCAGGACTTAGATTAGAATGGTTCAAGAAAAACTTCCTCTTCTTACACCTAGTCTAATACACAATATATTGAATAATCTAGTTCTATCATAATTCAGTAGTCCTTTTGTCCTTAAAAATAGATTTTATTTATATAATTTGTTACACAATATTTGAAAATATGGTGCTCATGGGTAAATGAACAACGAAGATTTTTTTTTTTTCTTAGCCAGGTGTGGTGGTATACCCCTTTAATCCTAGTACTTGGGAGGCAGAGGCAGGTAGACCTTTGTGAGTTTAAGGCCAGCCTGGTCCACAGAGTGAGTTCCAGGACAGCCAGAGAGAGCTACATACTGAGACCCTGTGTGCCGAGAGAGAGAGAGAGAGAGAGAGAGAGAGAGAGAGAGAGAGAGAGAGAGAGAGAGAGAGAGAGAGAGAGAGAGAGACTTTTTTTTTCTTTTAAACTTAAGACCGAGAATCGGAAGTAGAGAGATATCTCAGAGGTTAAGAGCACAAATCCTCTTCCAGAGGACCCAGGTTCAATTCCCAGCCCCAACACAGCAGCTCACATCCTGTAACTACAGTTTCAGGAGATCCACCAACAATATCTTCTGGCTTCCACTAGCACACAAGTGATGCACCGACATAGATGCAGGCAAAACATTCATACTTATAAAATAATGAAATGAAACTCTTAAGAAAATAAAAAATAAATTGAGAGAGAGAGAGAGAGAGAGAGAGGAGAGAGAGAGGAGAGAGAGAGAGAGAGAGAGAGAGAGAGAGAGAGAGAGAGAGAGAGAGAGAGAGAGAGAGAGAGGAGAGAGATTGAGATTGAATATTTTAGCCAGGTGTTGGTGGTGAACGCCTTTAATCCCAGCACTGGGAAGCAGAGCCAGGTGGATTCCTGTGAGTTCCAGGCCAGTCTGGTCTACAGCACGAGATCCAGGAAAGGCACCAAAACTACACAGAGAAACCCTGTCTCGAAAAACAAAACAAAGACTTTAAAAGATGGAGAATCACTAACTTGTAACTTCAGTCTTTTGAGGTTTAAGCCTTTGAATTAAGTCCTAAACTCTACTATTCAACTTGCCAAATGACTACAGTATTCTATTTTTAGAATTGTCACTGTATATCAATTATTTAACTCATCTTTTTTTTTTTTTTTTTTTTTTTTAGTTATTTCAAGACAGGGTTTCTCTGTATAGCTTTGCGCCTTTCCTGGAACTCACTCTGTAGCCCAGGCTAGCCTTGAACTCGCAGAGATCCGCCTGCCTCTGCCTCCCGAGTGCTGGGATTAAAGGCGTGCGCCACCACCGCCCGGCTATTTAACTCATCTTAATTTGCATCTAAGCTGAATATACAGGGAGACCTTTGTATTAAACAATGTCTTATTTTTCTTCAGATATGCCATTGTTAAACACATAATTTGTTGTTATTTTTGTTTTGTTGGTAGTAGAGATTTTGTTTTTTGTGGAGTTTTTTTTTGGGGGGGGAGGGGGGTATAGTTTGAGACATGGTTTCGCCATGTAACTCTAGCGGGCCTATATCTCAGTGACCTGTCTGCCTCTAATTCCTCAGCAGTGATTAAAGGCGTGCACTGCCATGCCCAGCTTACATATTTTAATCATACATTCAAAACTCAATTTCAATGATCCTACTATCAACTTTTATCTATGTCAGCCAAATTTATCTGTACCCTTAGATTGCTGTATCCAAATATTTCTTAATCTATAGACTGTAACAACTATCCTGTTTTGAGAATTTACTAGCTTTTCAGGAACTATATTATCTCTTAATGAACTTTTTTCTTAGTGCTAGGGGTGCAATGGGGGGGGAGGGCTTCCACATTTTAGATAAAGCACTTTATGATACTGACATGACTTAGATATATTATGGTACACAGTCAATAGTTGGATAACACAGACACTCTCTATGTCCTAGTTCTCTTCAGTAAAATACAGAATGATCATATTTACCTTTATCAGATTGCTAAAAATTGTTAAAAATTACATTGGTCAAAACACAAAAAGGTCGTGTGGCAGCATTAAGGATTTATAGCTTGTCATTGTTATTCTTTGTAATTTTTCTTTTAAAAAATGTACTATTGCCAGGGGCGGGTGGTGGCAAATGCCTTCAATCCCAGCAGTTGGGAGGCAGGGGCAGGCGGATCTCAGTGAGTTCGAAGCCAGCCTAGTTTACAAAGCAAGTTCCAGGACTACTGTACATAGAGAAACCTTGTCTCAAAAAACAAAACAAGGAAGGGAGGGAGGGAGGGAGGGAGGGAGGGAGGGAGGGAGGGAGGGAAACAGAATATACTTTTATTATTTCATATATATGGATGTTTTGCCTGCCTGTTAACCTATGCACTATGTACATGCTCTTGGAGACCTGAAGACCCTTTCAGAACTGTAGTGACAGCTGGTTGTGAACCACCATGTAATTCTAGTTCCTCTGGAAAAGTAGCCAATGCTCTTAACTTCTAAGCCGTATCTGCAGCCACTGTAATTTTTGATTCTGTGTGTATTCACGTTCATGTGGAGAGGCAAATGGTCAATACTGGGTATTGTGTTTTACGAGCCATCTCCCATCAGGATCTAGGGCTTACTGATCAGGATATGCTCACTGGGCAGCAAGCCCCAGGGACCCAGCTGCCTCCCCACACCCAGCAGGGGATTTAAGTGTGCAATACCACACCTGGCTTTTTACATGGGTGCTAGAGACTGAAGTCAAGTCCTCATGCTTGCATGGCAAGCACTTTACCAACTGAAGTATCTCCTCAGCCCTCTTTGCAGTAACTTGAAATGATTTAGTGTTACAATATAAAATCTCAAACCTTCAACAGCAAAAAGGGATATGCACACAAAGACCTTGTGAGCTAGGTTTCAGACATTCTGCGAAAGGAACTAGGTTCTTTATTTGTGTCTCCATACTGAGACAAGTGAAGTGAACAAACAGAATGGGTTTTATCTTGGAAACTGGCTGCATCTGCAGCCTGGCAGATGAACTAACGGAAAAGGAGAATGAGAAAGAACTCAGAGCCTTTTCTCTATTTGACAGGGACTGTGATTAGAACTGTAGTGACAAAGGCATTGGGAACTATAATGAGGTCTCTTGGGCAGAAGCCCACAGAAACAGTTATAGACACAATTAATGAAGTAGATGGTGATGCTTATAGCAAAGATAGCTTTCTTAAGGATCAGACAGTGGTGGCAAAC